CCATGTGTGCCGAAAAAATATAAAGAATAGGTTCATCTTGATACAACTGCAATGACTATGTGAGCTTATATATATATATCTGGGACTTTAAATAATTAAGTACTACTGCACTATACCATACTAAGGACATTTACAGCAAAATTATAAACAGTGGTATTGTATTCTTATATTCCGCCAGGCTTTCCCAGGACTAGAACACTTACATATATATATTTGAAAATGAAAATCATCAAATTAACATGCACATCCATTCAATCTAAGCTTTTTACATAATACTTGCACTGAATCATAGTTTTGAGGCTTCTATGAATCTAAATACAAAGAAATGACGTGGAAACTTTAAGCATGTAAATCCAGAATAATTTAGAATTAGCTTATTTCTTTATAAAGAAGGCGTTTGTTTCAAGAGGTATACATAAGGGGGAAATCTTTATACACAAAGATAAAAGTAATTGAAAAACGGAAAATAACATGTTGAATGTAGGTGTACATATAGTAGCTCTCAGAATGAATATTAGGCAAATTTGAAAACGTGATCACAATATCTAGTTACCTTTCAACCATAAACTGGTCATTCTAAACTTAATAGTAAGACATCCTTTAAACAGTTAGGATTAAAATAGTGTACACAACCAACGATTCACACAGGCCTGCAACTTTTGATTTCTTGATTTAAGTACTATTGGTTTTCCATAACTTTTCTATGAAATTTACCTTGTATAGAATCTAAATTTATTTGTACAATTGTATTTTTGCAAGTTTTCTAAGATTTTGTCTGTCTAATCAATTTGTTTGATATGTCCTTCCACCTGTTTTCTTTGTCGTGACCTCTTTCCAATGTTTTACGAAAATTCATTCGTAAACTTATCTGACATCTCCATTATCCTGTCATCTTTTACATATATAGCTAATCAGCTCATCACGTAGCCTCGAAGATTTTAAACTACCATACACTGGACTATCCCAGTACTAATGACTGGGGTTTAACCTTTGTTCCTGCTTTTTTATTTGGACCTTAACTCCACTTTTGCATTCTGTCTGTCATGACATGGTCTTGTGATCGGATCAATATGTACAACATACATGTAACAATGTTTGATAGTGTCTGGATCGCTTACCTGAAAACACACAAGTATTTTGTGAAATTATCCTTACTATCTTTGATATGTGTTTGAGTTATTCCCCTTAAAATATTCATTAGCATTTCTAATAATTCAGGACTTAATAAATGCAATTGATCCTGATCCGTAAATTTAAAATTTATCATCAATAAGTGTGTCAAATTGAAATTAAAATTGACAAAGTCAGGCTTCTTTTTGTGGACGGTAATACAGCTTCCCTGTAAAGCTTATCCTAGAAAAACATATTATACCAGACTACGTTATTATAAAGTGTTCCAAGTAACAAGTATTCACGTGATCGATATACTATTCATATCTTTGGGGGGAACAGTGTTAACATGTTTTAAAACATATTTCTATGTGCGTAGTTAATGTAGCTATACCTAACTTTCAATTAAGAATGAAGTTACAACATTGCTAAGAAATGATATTATACTTGAAAAAATGTAAGTCAACTCAACTTAGAAACAATAGATAGGCCATGTGTCACTTAATCAAAAAACAATTGAACGAAAAAACTTTGAACACTGAATACATGGATCCATTTTCATTACAATGCTACATGCTGAATAGTTAACTCGGTCACATACAGTATACCTGACACAACCTATCGGAGAAACCCGAATCACATGTATCACAATAACATTGATGTAGATTTAAGTTTAGTCAGCTGTCTGTATGAGAACATGATGAATTCAAGATATCCAGACCAACATACTAAATCAATATGTTACTTGAAGACAAAAAACAAATAATGATAAAAAAAAATATGTTACATTAGGTGATGGATATCGATGTTTTTATTTGATTCACTGTGATAAGGATCATTTTTAACTGTTATTTAAAGACAATACATTGTTTTGTTAGACTAGCCCAAACGGTAAGGCATACTTACAGCTAATATCAATTCACCTACTGATATGTACTTGAACCTCAATATGAAAAATTCTTGAACCAAATTAAATGCATAATTTCACTCTGTAAACTGGAAAATAAAAACCAATCAACAGATCACCTAGTGGAGATGCAAATATATTTGTTGCATTGGTACAAAGCATACTATATGTATATTGATTTTGATTTATTTTGGATACAAAAGTTGTCTCCCCTAGAATTTCACAAAAATTATTTTTGTATGAATCAGCCCACATTTCAATAAATTTGTTTCTCTTCATGGCACAATTTCATTTGCAAATTTTATCTCTGATCATATATTAATGAAGAATAAGCAATAAAGCGTTAAGTTGAATATAACTCAAATTTCCATTACATGATATTAATCGTAGATTGTAAACACAACAATGAGTAAAAATACAGAGTCCAAAAGGAGACTGTATTGAAGTAATAAACATCATTTGATCATGTTTCAGTGATTGTTTAAAATGTGTATTGCCACAAAAAGGATAAACATTTGTTTGACGGAGAGACATTACATTTTGTGTATATTACCACAGTAAGCATGACCAAGAGACTATGGACATCATGATTTCAGAACATAATAATAAACAGCAATACCATCAATGTTACCGTGATTATGAACAGTGATATCACGGATATTGTTTTAATATAGGACATCCAAACATTTAGAATTCAGTTTTATTGGTGATAACGTATTTTAACAAAACCTCACGAGTCAGTAAAATATTACTTCAATTTTACATAACTTTTTCCTGTCTGTTGCAAATCTGAAGAAATTTTCATGTTAATACTGTTACAACTCAGTAGCCATGGAGACTGTTTTCTAATTTGTTCTGTTTAGTAAAGACTAATGTGGAATGCCAGGGAACGTTTTAGTTTATATATATACAGGGTTGGCTGTGGAGACTACAGTCAGTTCATTTAATTTCTAATTTGACATTTAATGTAAAGGTGCCAATGCATAAGTTATTAACGGTTATATGTAAAAGGTAAAGCAACGTTGAGGAATTTTCATAGCTAGGAGCTTTTCCCCTTGGGGAGGCGTTCATATATTTATTTTGATACTGTTTATTAAAAAAATACCTGGGTAAAAATAATACTAACATGTATAATCGGCAGTGGATAGGTTCTGAGTTCAGCCTTGTAATTTTCTTTTTTCTTTGTTCATTTCTGTTTTTGTTTCCGGAAACTAAACTATGAAAAAACTGAAATCCTGTAAAAATGTACTACAAGAGGTGTTTTATACAGAGCGACCTGTTAAAACTGAGAAAAAAGTGTTCACAAGAGTGCAAATACTACATACTTAAACTTGATGGTACTCCTTACTTAAATATAGTTAATGGTGATCTAGTACACTTGTAACTGACAACTCTGTTGAATGTAATAAATAATGACACTAATTTAATCAATAACTATAAAGTCCTTTCTCTTCTTGAAAACTGTTAAATTCTATTCATAAAATGAAATAAAGCCTACTTTCTCTACGGGGAAACATTAACAACTAAATTTCATCCTGGGTCATGATCAATACAAAACAAACTGTTGTGGAAAATGTACAAGTCATTGTGAATTCATACATATTATAAAGATGAAAAAAGAAATCCTCACACACACTGGAAATAATACACACTCACTTATATAATAAATTCATACACACACTTGTTGACACTCTGCTACAATAAATATTAGATCAGGTTTATCCTGGCTATGGTTTATCTCATCACAGACTGCATACACACATTTTACAGCAGTGAAATTCTTGGGATTCTTATATTAAGACAGAACTGCACTGACATTTACTTGTTTTGTGTAAATAAGGTTATACCTGGGTAGTCAGCTATATGTGCAGACAGTGATATTACTCATGTGGACATATTTTTCCTGATGAAAACATGAAAATAACACTGTGCAATCAATATCTGTATATACATTTGTATATATACAACACTGGTCACTGTGTGATCATTTGTATATATATAACACTGGTCACTGTGTATACATTTGTATACATTTATATATACAACACTGGTCAATGTGCGATCATTTGTATATATACAAAACACTGGACACAGTGTATACATTTGTATATATTTGTATATATACAACACTGGACACTGTGTATACATTTGTATATATACAACATCTGACACTGTGTGAACATTTGTATATATACAACATCGGACACTGTGTGAACATTTGTATATATACAACACTGGACACTGTGTATACATTTGTATATATACAACACTGGACACTGTGTATACATTTGTATATATATTCAACACTGGACACTGTGTGAACATTTGTATATATACAACACTGGACACTATACATTTGTATATATATACAACACTGGACACTGTGTGAACATTTGTATATATACAATACTGGATACAGCACCAGATACATGTATATATAAAATACAATGTATAACACTGTGAATAAAACATACAAATCTGCCACTGTGTACAGTTGTAAATCTGCCACTGTGTACAGTTGTATATCAGCCACTGTGTACAGTTGTATATCTGCCACTGTGTACAGTTGTATATCAGCCACTGTGTACAGTTGTATATCTGCCACTGTACATGTGTACAGTTGTATATCTGCCACTGTGTACAGTTGTATATCTGCCACTGTGTACAGTTGTATATCTGCCACTGTGTACAGTTGTATATCTGCCACTGTGTACAGTTGTATATCTGCCACTGTGTACAGTTGTATATCTGCCACTGTGTACAGTTGTATATCTGCCACTGTGTACAGTTGTATATCTGCCACTGTGTACAGTTGTATATCTGCCACTGTGTACAGTTGTATATCTGCCACTGTGTACAGTTGTATATCTGCCACTGTGTACAGTTGTATATCTGCCACTGTGTACAGTTGTATATCTGCCACTGTGTACAGTTGTATATCTGCCACTGTGTACAGTTGTATATCTGCCACTGTGTACAGTTGTATATCTGCCACTGTGTACAGTTGTATATCTGCCACTGTGTACAGTTGTATATCTGCCACTGTACATGTGTACAGTTGTATATCAGCCACTGTGTACAGTTGTAAATCTGCCACTGTGTACAGTTGTATATCAGCCACTGTGTACAGTTGTATATCTGCCACTGTACAGTTGTATATCTGCCACTGTACATGTGTACAGTTGTATATCTTCCACTGTTTACAGTTGTATATCTGCCACTGTACATGTGTACAGTTGTATATCAGCCAATGTGTACAGTTGTATATCCATTTATATATAGTACAAATGAAAGCATTATTATACATTTGTATACATGAAATATATATACAGTAATGGACACTTTTACATATATATATATATAGTAGCAGAGACCATGCTTGAAGCTCCTGTAAACCTGGGACAAATCTGTGTTTACAATTAATCAACGGTCATCATGGAGGATCACCAAGAATATTGTGTGTGCAATATTTAATGAACCTTCACTTTCCCCTCACTAGATCACTAATACCAGACTTGAAGACATGCTCTTCACTTGGATCAAGATTTGCATCATTAGTAAAAAAAAACTAAAAAAACATACACATATGTTTTATCATGCCATGTGATTTCTTTGAAGTCGATGACATACAATTGTATATATATGCTTCATAAATTGATAAGTTAAAGTCATGATTATCAATTGAAATTATTATACTGACTTCACTGAAAACTAGTTTTCTAATAATATTGAATATATATGTGGTATGTCTAACAAATGTACATCTTTAAGATGTTGCTTTGTTTACAGGATAAAAGTACTGGACATGACCCGTTATATATACAAGGGGTACACCTGTTAATGAGCAGAGACGTGTTGTTTATTTTTGGTCAGTATTGTGAACTTTGACCTATTAAACTTATCACAGCATGGCACTGACTTTAGACATGACATTAAGGGAGGAAGGAGATGCCCTAGTAATACCTAGCAACTTGGGTTTATAATATGTTAAAGTGCAAAATGACAAAACAGGACTTAAATATTGTATAATGGGTTGAAGATTGGAACCCTGGCTATGTTCTGTCTCTAGAGCATGATAACTCAGCTTCCATTTATTCAAAATTTAATATCATCCCACATGAATAGCTGGTAGACCACAGGTACAAGCCTCGTCTGTCTATTCACCCATTATATTATGGGTTTATTGAAAGACGAGGCTAGTGCCTGTGGATAAATGTGTCATCATACGACTTTCAATATCAAACCTGGGTAAGAAATGATAAACCTTGACTCCCGTTTTGTTTTTATGCTTTGTGAAAGTCTGCACCAAAATGTTTTAATTAATTATATAAGCACAGTTACTCGTATTCGAGCTACAGTTACTCGCATTCGAGCTACAGTTACTCGTCTTCGAGCTACAGTTTCTCGTATTCGAGCTACAGTTCCTCGTATTCGAGCTACAGTTACTCGTATTCGGGCTACAGTTTCTCGTATTCGAGCTACAGTTACTCGCATTCGAGCTACAGTTACTCGCATTCGAGCTAAAGTTACTCGCATTCGAGCTACAGTTACTCGCATTCGAGCTAAAGTTACTCGCATTCGAGCTACAGTTACTCGCATTCGAGCTACAGTTACTCGCATTCGAGCTAAAGTTACTCGCATTCGAGCTACAGTTACTCGCATTCGAGCTAAAGTTACTCGCATTCGAGCTACAGTTACTCGCATTCGAGCTAAAGTTACTCGCATTCGAGCTACAGTTACTCGCATTCGAGCTACAGTTACTCGCATTCGAGCTAAAGTTACTCGCATTCGAGCTACAGTTACTCGCATTCGAGCTAAAGTTACTCGCATTCGAGCTACAGTTACTCGCATTCGAGCTACAGTTACTCGTCTTCGAGCTACAGTTTCTCGTATTCGAGCTACAGTTAATCGTATTCGAGCTACAGTTTCTCGTATTCGAGCTACAGTTAATCGTATTCGAGCTACAGTTTCTCGTATTCGAGCTACAGTTACTCGCATTCGAGCTACAGTTACTCGCATTCGAGCTAAAGTTACTCGCATTCGAGCTACAGTTACTCGCATTCGAGCTAAAGTTACTCGCATTCGAGCTACAGTTACTCGCATTCGAGCTAAAGTTACTCGCATTCGAGCTACAGTTACTCGCATTCGAGCTACAGTTACTCGCATTCGAGCTAAAGTTACTCGCATTCGAGCTACAGTTACTCGCATTCGAGCTACAGTTACTCGCATTCGAGCTACAGTTACTCGCATTCGAGGTAGGGTTACTCGTATTCGAGCTACAGTTACTCGTATTCAAGCTACAGTTACTCGTATGCGAGCTACAGTTACTCGTATTCGAGCTACAGTTACTCGAACTACAGTTACTCGTATTCGAGCTACAGTTACTCGAACTACAGTTACTCGTATTCGAGCTACAGTTACTCATATTCGAGCTACAGTTACTCGTATTCAAGCTACAGTTACTCGTATGCGAGCTACAGTTACTCGTATTCGAGCTACAGTTAATCGTATTCGAGCTACAGTTTCTCGTATTCGAGCTACAGTTCCTCGTATTCGAGCTACAGTTACTCGTATTCGGGCTACAGTTTCTCGTATTCGAGCTACAGTTACTCGTATTTGAGCTACAGTTTCTCGTATTCGAGCTACAGTTACTCGTATTCAAGCTACAGTTACTCGTATGAAAAATAGTGTATCATGATCATGACATTAAACCAGTAAAAAAAAAATCCGAAACATCAATTTTTTATTAATTGGCTTCAAATAAATATGAAATTTTCCCAAATTATCCAGCTATTTGATAAAACATACTTACTTCAGGGTCCCAGTAAGAGAGAACATTAAAAGGTGTATTGGTTATTTTGTTTTGATTTAACAGGGTCTTTTTATAATTTTGAAAAATCTTAAGTACTTCTGTAATTTTTTATGTCAGTTGGGAAATATTTTTTCTTTATTGCTTCTCTATTTTTTTTGGTTAAATCAGTTTTTAAACAACAACTGAAAATGTTGGTTGTTTAAAATTTTATAAAAATTTAAATTTGTTCAATCAATCTATTGGAACTAAGGTAAAAGTTAAATCTTGCAAATATTTATTCTGAATAAGGAAATGATCATCAACTGAAAAAAAGTGATAACCATGTTTACAAAATTAAAATTTGAATTTCCTGTTATGCTATTGAAGTTTAATACAGTTCAACCTACCTAGTTTAATACACCTACATAAAACAAATCCTTTAACGAGATCAGACAGTACTTTGTACATAAATATTAAACCACACCTTTGATCATGCAAAATACTTGTCTATTCAAAAGGGAATATTTATTCCCATTGTGTTCGGATGAGACAGGTGTCAGTGTACATAGTTAGGGACATTGAGATGTGTTGTTTGCTGATTAACCAAAGTGAAGTATTGAACTTTACATGTATACAAGTGTATCCATGTAACAAAAAAGTCCTACCTCTATTTGACTTACTCTTATAGAATAGATGTGGCTGTAATACATGTCTATATTGTCAAGGTCACTGTACATAAGTCTAAAGAGCTGTGACTTTGGTCCAATATCCTGTTAACTTAGGACACAAGCACAGCATGCCCTCCTTTAACATCCTGTATCTATATATCCCGATGATTCCAGACGTATACCTGCAGGAATCCAGATATCATTCAGAGCGTCTCAGAACAGCCTCAAGTAAATGAGTCAGTTTGAAACAACACCTCGTCGTCCTGGGACACATCCTATTGATTTAGGAAGAGTCCTTGTATATTTGGGATGTCCTTCTTTTAAAATTAACTTCCTTCGGATAAAACTGTTTCTGGGGATACAATGACTTGAACCACGTAACTTTTGGGAATTTTTATATCTTCAATGCGCAATTTATCACTTAACATACGTCCAGCAAAAAACCATCTTTGTCTTGCTGGTTCTACCTCAGTCTCTTCAAAGATTCGGTTTTTCAGTTTAAGCACAGTATCTGTGGTGCGGACGTACAGCTTTAGATCTTTATTGATGGTGGACAATCGGAACTTGATGGGGAGTTCCAGTCCAGGGGAGGCATTCTCAGCGTCCTGATCCACGTCTCCCTCACTTGCTTCCTCTATCAGGTTGGTCGGGGCACTCAAAACATATACAGGTAACTGATAACGGTTTCCCAACTCATCATAGCAGTCCATTAGTGTACCTGGGTTAGTGAACAATTCTATTTTTAACAAGATTATTTTTTATATTTATCATAATACAGTCCTATCATTCAATACCAATTCTTTCACTCCTCTCTATGACACAACAAAACAAAGTATCTACCAGCAACATTTCGGTCAATACCAGGATGCTGATATAATGTAAATGAGATTTTATTACATAGAATTTGAGGGTGTAACAATAAACAGATATAACGTTTTACAGTGAAAGGTCTCTAAAATATGTCCTCCTATGTGATGTTGTATCAGGGAAGGGTATCTTAGAGAAAGAGACTGAAGGATTTTGTTTGAATCTAATCAGGCAATAAACAATATTCAAATGATAGAATGAAGAGTGTTAACTATATGAAACTGAAGTAATCTATTAAAGTTTGAATCTTGAAAATGACACTGACAACAGCTTTTAAGAAATGTAAGAGTTATAATGGGTTACTAGTGTTAGACTATTTTATTTGTATAATCCTGTTATTTCATGTAGTTTGAATTTAAATTTAAATACCACACCTTAACACAATCATAAGAAATCCAATGATAGCAAAATGCCACATTTTAACAATGTTCCTATAGACATCCCATCAACCTACCCCAGTATTCTTTATACAGATGTGCATTTTCTACATATGAACATGAAGCATGAAGCTTTAGATCTTAACCTATAAAATGACCAATTCAATTTACTGAGATAATACAAAATGCAGCGCTAAAGCTTTGCGTTATACAAACCATGGGGTAGGGAAATGTTGGCCCCGTCTACGATAGCCTGAGCTAAAGTGTGGTCCCCTGTCTCCAGCGCATAGGCAGCCCCTTTAAGGGCATCCCAAATCTCCTTTCTTCCTTCAAATGCAGGAGCGGTGTCCCAGAATTCATCTCTCTTGCTACGCAGCTGACCTTCAGTCAAAGGGACATCACTCTTCCATTTTGGTTTCTCTGGCTTAAGCGGTTGATTTCGTCCTAGAGCAACTGAATTGAACAAAATGTATCATCATTATCCAATTAGTGGTCCTGAAGTAATGTCTTATATACACGACTAAACTAATTATAAGTATGTCCTGAATATGTACTTATCTTTTGCTTAATCACAAAATGTTGTTCTCAAAAATCAACCAGTTGGTTTTTTATCTTTACATTAATGTTACCCATCTGCTGCCCTGTACTGTAATAGTACCCCTCCAATGCAGTGCAACATAATCTACAGCCCTGATACCTAGCTACACTTAGCAAGTACATATTACAAGTACTTGTTACAAGATAGCATAGAAACTGATCCATACACTGTATATATCTGCTTTATTTATAATGTCTATTTTTGTAGTCCACACAAACTAGACTTACTGGTATTACATTTTTGTATTTTATCCACCCAAATTTTATGTACACATATTATACTGGCACATTTTCCATAGTCACAAATACATATCTTGTCCAATGGTGTTAGGTTATAGGATCAATTGAATATAGATGCCTCTGAATAACACATCCTATCAGTGTTCCAATACCTACACTTTTCCAGCTCATTAAACATGAGACATGACCAGGCACTGACAGATCATCTTGTAAGTAGAGATGAAGAATGCTGGACAGGGCAAAATATTATATTACATATATACTGCCTCCTCTGTTTTTCTATCTCCATGGGGACAGGGCATAGCATCATTTATATAGATCCAGCTTAATCTCAGAGGTCTCCAAAAAATAACACTATATATTTTAATGCTTATCATATAAACCGTTTTTCCCATCACCACATTCATGTCACCACCATTTGAAATACCTGACTCCTATAGATATGCATCAAGTTAGACTTGATACTTTCATAATATAATTTCAACTCTTACAATTTTATCATAGGAATCAAAGTATTAAAAAATATCTATTAAAAAACCCACTTACACTTACATTGCCCACACTTAGTTATAACAAGGTATTATATTCATACACAAAGAATAACTTCAAATTTAATTACAAGCAAAAGGCAAAATGTGGTGAATTCAGTGAATGAAAATTTTGAACATTAAAAGTAAGAACTTCCTACATTTAAACCTATTGTTTAAAACTTTCTTTGAATTCTTGAGGATTCCCAGTTAATTCCTGTTAGAGGTTGCATTTGGTCTCACAAACTCACATTGTGGACAATTGAAAAATGTTTAAAGAAGAAGGGTGTCCATTTAAATGAAAAGTAGACAGGTTTTAAAATGTTTATTTTAGGACATTTATTTGTAGCACATTTGTATGTAAACTTTAATTACCGGAGGTGTGTGTATATATACATGTGTATATGAATCATTCGACCAACAGAAAACCTGGGCTTGTAGCCCAGTACCATATTTCTCCTGTGATAAGCCTCAGGCCGTCTCACACATAACATCTGACTCAAAGTAGTAGGGAGCTGTCCCAGAACAATGGGATAATGCTTGTCAGCATTTCTACTGAAATGCAGTAGATAGATATGCGTGCACTTATTACCAGACATAATAATAATAATTTGAGGTATTGTATACCCCTTTATTACATACTTACTAATAAAGACGAAAAATTTATCAAAAGATAGTAGCTTAAATTATTAGTAAGTATGTAATAAACAGAATAAAACATGACTTTTTCCATATCACACCCAGTATCAACCCTCGACTAATATCAGCCCTCGGGCCTTCGGCCCTTGGGCTGATATTGCAGTCTCGGGTTGATACTGGGTGTGATAAGGAAAAAGGCATGTATTATTCTCTATTTATCACAACCTAGTTTGTAGGTCGTCTCGAAGCGGTTAACAAATTATTATCTGTGGTTATAGGGCCTTTGCAAACCAGCCAGTATCTTTCTCAACTCCCTGGGGAGCATACAGCTGGTGCTGCCATTTCTGCACTCACAACTAGCATTTAATAATTATAGCACTGCCCAACCGCGTACTCATTTACAGCTGAGTAGACTGGAACAAACGGAGTAAGTATCTTGCTCAAAGATACAACACAGTGCCGTGCCATAACTCGAACCTGCAACCCTTCGGTCATGAGCCTGGCATCCTACCACTAGACTACTGTGCCTCCAAATATCAGATAAATATGACAGATTTTATGTCAGGGCTTGTAAAGATGTCCAATATTTATAATGAAAGTGTTGGTGGAGCAAGTATACAATATTTTCTTAATCTGCCAGCAGACTAGGAATGTACAGATGATTTGCCTCCAAATGAAAACTGTAAGCTAGGTCTTTAACAATAACTCTTATTTTGTTTTAATCTTTCCCCAAATTTAAGGTAATTTCACCCCTAACTCGTCCCAAAACTGTTTGTTCAAAATCAACTATATCCGAAGAATTGAGAACTAATGTTATCACCCCAAAACCGTTTGCCAAAAATTAAATATCCATCAGAATATAGACAACTACCGCTAACTAAAAACTTAACACTAAATCTTAATCTATACTTTAAACCTTAACAATGACAAGACCCTATTTTTTTTATTTTTTTTTAAATCTAAACCATATATAATCTGACTCTAAAACGAACCCTTTACCCTTTTAGCACTCAAAATGTGGGCATTATATGTCTTTTGAAGTGATATCATCCTCTATGCTCGCTTTCATTTTCACTGCACCCCTGGAATATGTCATAGCAAAATTATAGGCTCAGTGTGCATGCATCACCTTGTGGATGAGATGAGAAGACTAGTTTGATCCTTTGATGTACATCTTAAGAATCTGTCACTCACGTAACTAAAATAGACAAGTTTTTAAGTCGTGTGTCACTCGCCTGTAATCTTCAAAGGACAGGTATCAGCCTAGCGATTGGTCTGGTTTCTTTACCCGAGACCAATCAAATAGCTTGCTGCGTGCCTTCAATTTTGCTGTGACATTTCCAGGGGTGCAGAGAGTGAAAATGAGTGTAACCCCTGAAGTATCGAGGATGAGGCGATGAAAAATAATGGATAGGGCGAAATGATTTTTGGGGTCAAATTGATGTTGCAATATGATTTTTGGGGTACAGGGTAAATGGCAGGGGTATTATGGGTAATAAGGGGATCGGAAGTAATGGTTTTGGGTCAAACATCCTGAACCAGTTTCTAAATATGAAACTACACATCCCCTGAATTACTCATCTGTCAGGGTTGTTCTGATCTCAAATTTAGAATACTAGCCTGCAATCTATTTGATTATTTTCTTATCTTTGGAATTATATGGTCAAAAATAGAAAGGGAAATCGTGCGGTTACAACATACTACAGCTTCTACCAGTAAGGCAGGTAATATTGTCCACACTCCAACCCAATGAATGATGACACATCACAATGGAAAAATAATTTATCTTTCGCTGTATAATACATCGTTGTAAGCTTTTTAGCTTTTGGAGATGTCTTGATTCTATTTCCTTTACTTATATATAGTGTCCAACCAGTTGCGCATAAATGATAAAAAGTCCGTTATTTACACATTGATGGTTTGTGGCAGTATATCAGTCTTGTTGCTCACACATTATACTTGACAAAAAACAGTTCTCTCTCTATATACCATTATAAGACCATGCAGTCCAGAGTCAACTAATATAAATTCACTGCAGGTTGGTCGCTAGCAAGACGCATATACTAATATCAAGTTATCAACCATATAGTATCTGTTTCAATGAAGATGACCAGTATCCATTTTTCTATCAAATAAATATATAGGCCCCTATATGTATAATTATTAAAATATTCTTTAATTATGATATGTTCTATCAAGTTATCTATAAATGTATATCTGATGATACGATCGTGTCTAATACACTTTAAATTATATGTATTGGGGAGAAAGTATGGCATGGATCATATGATCAGCTGTAACAAGGAAATAAACCAAACAAGGAAATTTGTATTTCCACAACAATCAGTGACAAAACAATTAAACTGAAACATATGATTACAAAGCAGGCAACAGCGAAAGCTCCTTCAACACAGCCAGTAGTTCGTGGGCGACGAAGTGGCCAATCATTCTGCTATTGTCATAAGGCCTACTTGATACAGGATAGGAATGGTGATGAAACTGGAATTGGTAAAACTGCATCCGGCTTTTCCGAAAGGTACCGGTTCGGAACATTTAACGTTACCTGCAGCGTCTGATGATTCGCCTGATGATGGTCCGTTGTCTCTCTGAGATCCAATGCACCCTCCCATCTCTAGAGGGACGGGGGAGGGATCCCGTTGAACAAATACTTGCGAATGGCACTGTCACTGTCACTGTCACAATAACGTCTATTTTCGGAATATCTCCGCACTAAAGAATTATTGATATTCTATCTAAAAAAGTCGTTTTGGTTAAATTACTTCATTGTTTTAGCTCAGACTATTTTATTCGAATAATGGTATATTAATAGGAAATAGTGTCAATATTTCATTCTAATAATTATGTATTTCCTATTATTGTAGTCCCGTCTTAAGGACATTCTAATTTAAAAGAATAGGTAACATGTTTCCGGAAATTTGACATTACCACGAAAGGAAAATGGGGCAAGCAACTGAATTTTTTTCGTAAGTTTTTGAATTGATTTTTGAATATTTTGTTATTAAGTTTTCCTTTTCATTAACATTTTTTGCATTACAGAACGGCTAATGATGACCTTTCGTGAGTGGACAATGATTTCCTTCCGGATTTATTTTACGCGTCCCCATGCAGAAATTGGTATCAACAACAAAACTGTGACCGCAGCAAATGATTATAAAAGATGGCTGCGCCCATGTGGAAAAGTGCGCTGGACGATTATGTCAAAACTGAAATTGATTCCATGGCTCCCGATGTTGTTAAATGTAGGCTAACATTTTCCCTCCTGGGATACTTTTTAATTTTCATAATTTATTGGAAATATATATCCCCTTCTCACCTAATATGAAATAGGCGAGACCTAAACAGTGGGCACACATACACATGAAATTACTGTTTCCTACATAATTTTACAGTTTCATTTTATGTACTGTCAGTAGAGTGAACATCCGGTCCTCGCATAATTCAATAGATATACCATTATACCAACAACCCAGATGGGGTATACATTGGTTTGGGTGGATGTTGCGGTATCAGCAGGTTTGGGAAAACTCTGCTGCACACACGCGAGAATAGTCCGAATTATTCTGACGTTTTATCGACTTTTTTTAATCGACGACAGACCGATATGATAAAACGTCAGAATAATTCAGACTCACACGAGAATAACCACATTGTATGTACATATCTGTGGTATCTACAAAATTTGGTATATAAGTCAAGAGTATCGACTACAGCATTTAAAACACTTCTCCACTTTGCTTTTTCTAAATTCTGATATTTCTCTTTCACACTATCAATACCCCCCTCACAACCAACACCACTTTCAGGCCTTCATGACTCCGGTTAGTCAGTGTGTTCCATGTGTGGTTGAAATAGTATATAGAACACTTTGCTAGTAGAGTGAGCTAGAAACCCTGGTACCGTATTTTAGTAAATTTGATGGTCAATCATCACTGGACCATTTGCTTCATAAGAAAACCATAGGTGTTGCCAAGCAGACTGTGCTCTATGAGACGAGGAAAAGGATCAGCTGACAATGCTCTACAGAATCACAGACTTTTGTGAAACAGATTTCAAATTCCCACCAGCATGGTGAAATTAACTGCCTAGCGCAAGTGGTGACAGTCAACATCACTGCATAGACTTGCATCTATGTCATCAGTAAGGTCATGAAAGGCCATCATAAGGGGGTTTTGTTATACATTTGAAGCCACTGGAAGGGCTCTCTAGGTGATCTAAGCTTTCTCTTAAAGGAATAGTTGAGACTACAGACAGGGGTATCATTTTAAACCAACAAAAGTTTCTTTACAAAAGAAATTACCCCCAACCACTGCCCACTTGATATCATATAAAACCATCATCTAGATGCGTCAAATATAAGATCCAGTCCACACCATGAATAGAAATTGCTAAGGAACTGGAAGTCCCATAGTGCAGCCAATCAGACAACATAAGGCCACATCTTCTAAAAGAACTTGAAATCATCATTACCAAACTCCTCATCAGTGATGTTTACCTTTGATCACATGATGAAGGAGCTGTTTCATGTGCAGGGGACAGATGTATGTTGTTCCTATTATCTAAGGAAGATGAGGAGTCTGATGCAGCAGCTTGACTACAGACTAGAGTTTCTTACCTCCATTTGCTTGAAAACTAGAACACATCAAATACAGGAAATTCTTACACCAATGACCAGCATAACCTTCTTACCCATAACCCACACAGAATTAGGATACAACTTAAACACAGGAATATACTTTACATAAGAATAGATTCAGGCATAGATATTCTCTCATAGTAGTTACTTTCAAATTTCCCTAAATTTTACTTTGGAGCAAATAATACTGTTGGTGATTTGAAATGTCACTTTAATCACAGGTAAATTGATATGGTGTGCTGTGTTTCTGTTCTGACTTATCAATTTATCCAACCAGCGTTGATATATATTGATCCATTTGATTGAGACCTTATTTTCGTTACTTTGTGTATTTTTCACCTCTCACCCCCACCCCTTCCCCCAAAAAAAGAAGGTAAAATTATGTATTAACTGTTAAATGTTGTGTATTCCAGTGCTCACAGATAACACTATATCTTTACTGGAGCTGATAGAAGGGCTGGGGTAAGTCTAATAGTCCATTTATTTATTAGAGCTTATCATCATGTACTGTATGTATTTACTACATTCATGGAGAGGAGCTAGAGTGTGGGTAATATGTACTGTATGATTTTACATGGAGAGGAGCTAGAGTGTGGGTAATATGTACTGTGTGTATTTACATTCATAGAGAGGAGCTAGAGTGTGGGTAATATGTACTGTGTGTATTTACATTCATGGAGAGGAGCTAGAGTGTGGGTAATATGTACTGTATGTATTTACTACATTCATGGAGAGGAGCTAGAGTGTGGGTAGTATGTACTGTGTGTATTTACATTCATGGAGAGGAGCTAGAGTGTGGGTAATATGTACTGTGTGTATTTACATTCGTGGAGAGGAGCTAGAGTGTGGGTAATATGTACTGTGTCTATTTACATTCATGGAGAGGAGCTAGAGTGTGGGTAATATGTACTGCATGTATTTACATGGAGAGGAGCTAGAGTGTGGGTAGTATGTACTGTGTGTATTTACATTCATGGAGAAGAGCTAGAGTGTGGGTAATATGTACTGTATGTTTTTACATTCATGGAGAGGAGCTAAGAGTGTGGGTAATATTTACTGTATGTATTTACATGGAGAGGAGCTAGAGTGTGGGTAGTATGTACTCTATGTATTTTCATTCATGGAGAGGAGCTAGAGTGTGGGTAATATGTCCTGTGTGTATTTACATTCATAGAGAGGAGCTAGAGTGTGGGTAGTATGTGCTGTGTGTATTTACATTCATGGAGAGGAACTAGAGTGTGGGTAATATGTACTGTATGTATTTACATTCATGGAGAAGAGCTAGAGTGTGGGCAATATGTACTGTATGTATTTACATTCATGGAGAGGAGCTAGAGTGTTGGTAATATGTACTGCATGTATTTACATGGAGAGGAGCCAGAGTGTGGGTAGTATGTACTGTGTGTATTTACATTCGTGGAGAAGAGCTAGAGTGTGGGTAATATGTACTGTATGTTTTTACATTCATGGAGAGGGGCTAAGAGTGTGGGTAATATTTACTGTGTGTATTTACATGGAAAGGAGCTAGATTGTGGGTAATATGTACTGTATGTATTTACATTCACGGAGAAGAGCTAGAGTGTGGGTAATATGTACTGTATGTATTTACATTCATGGAGAGGAGCTAAGAGTGTGGGTAATATTTACTGTGTGTATTTACATGGAAAGGAGCTAGAGTGTGGGTAATATGTACTGTATGTATTTACATGGAGAGGAGCTAGAGTGTGGGTAATATGCATTAGTAAAGTTTATGCATTATACTTTTAACTGCATCATCAGTTTCATGGGTTTTCAGGAGGATAAATCTGCGAATTCAATACAATAGCAAATAAACATTTCCAGTAAATACGCCTCATATTCTCTAAACGACAACGTTACACAAACTTTTATTCGCTCACATCAATGTAAAAAATGCTTATTAAAAAGTAAAGCTGTATGCATAGTATTCTCATGCTCTTCTTACTGAAAAAAAATAATTATAATGCTTACTTAATGTTTTCCACATGAAATAGTTTGTCAAAGATCATACATGTTTATATCATCAAGCACTTGTATAAGATCTAGATCTCCAGTGACAGTGTATGTTCGTGAAATGACATAATTTGATTACAATGTATTAAATAACAGTATATTTTTTTTACATGTATTCAGATATATTTCAAATTCTGATTTAGCAAGATATACAATGTTCAGGTATTTTCTCACTGATTTGTGAGGAGAGCAGGTTACATAACTCTGAAATACTTATTTTCAAAAGGATTAAACATCTTTTGTAATCACTATTAAATGTCATCTGCCATTATACATGAAATCCCTATTAAATGACATCTGCCATTATACATGTACAACAAAGTACTTGTTTATTCCAGGAACCAAATCTTAAATTATTTGCAAGTGATTTGATTTGAAGTAATATCATGACATGAAGTGATATACTGCTATTAGTGTCCCTATAATACCACAATGCTCACCCGTGCTATAATAATATGTTCATGTTATAGAACATTGCGAATAGCTTTAATTTTTGATTCCTTACAGGAAGTACTTAATCAGTGAGGAGACATCTGAGCGAGGCAGGGTGGTCAAACTTCTGGCAGAAATCCTTCATCTCATTCCCACAGACAAACTGAACGCCACAGAAAGTGAGTACACAATAGTATCAAATTGATAAATTTGTTCAGTAACTTTCCAATGTTTAAATCTGTGAAGATATTGCATGTACTTATGGTGGAATAGTGATGACAATAAAACTTTTATTGGCTTATTAATTCCAGTCTTAACATTTACATAATATCCATGTAGAATTGTGGACTCAGTCATAGCTTGACAAAGGCACCATTTGGTCTTGAATCGTTGTGACACGTTTAATATGTACATTATTTTTGTATAAAGTAAAACTTTGACATTACATATTTCTAAACTGATGAATCTTATTGAAGACATGTATAGACATTTCTTTCCTTAAAGCTTCTAGACACTATTTACAAAAAAACACTTGCCAGAATAAAATTGAAAAATGGCAATAATCAGTCCTGTGACCTGTTAGTCGTACAATCCTTTGATCTGTTGGTTGTTATGATCCTTGTAATGACCTATTTACAGACGAGCTCCTGGTAGCCTACCTGTGTGACAGACTGAAGGACCACCATTCTATACAGCCTCCCTCACTGCATGGGCTGCTGGCACTGGTAAATTCTTTCTCATCATTTAATACTGAATTAGTTAAGCATTTTCTGCTACAATATACAATAGCAAATTTTCACTGTTTTACATTTGACTACTTCTGTTTTAAAATTTGCTAAGTATATTTAACAGCATTCACCCCAGTGCTAAATTTGACCTCATGTTCTAGAGTGAGGAGGGCTAATTGCATTAATTTCAGTATCAAACAGATGGTATTTCTCAACATTTCTCTGGAACATTCAGCATAGCTCTAGCAGCAGTGAACGAGCAGTGTTTCACCAGCTGTACTGCTCTGTCAGTATGTAACTACAGCAGCATGGCAATATCCAGTGAATTATTCTGTGAATTTGAGGCTTTATAAAAGCCCTTTCAAGATATTTTCTGTTGTATTTTTCCCAAAATAATTGCCAAAATCAAGTTTTTTTGTGTGCGATATTTCCCCAAAGTCACAATGCACAGGCCCCTGTGGAATGGAGGTAGAAAAATGACTACAGTTCTACTCCATTATGTCTGACTGTAAACATGAAGGACATTGTTACTGTCAGTGACTACCGGGTTGTATTATGTATGGAATTGGACAGAGCTCTATCAGGTAAAAATGTATATATTTTCCATGAATTTATTTGAAATTGTATAATGTGATATATATGGGCAGTATATTTCGTTTGTTTGCACCATTGTGCTTTAGATATTGTACAGGTAACGTGTATATTTCTATTTACTTCTCATTGAAAAATCTGTGATCCTCATTATGTCTTTTTCCTTAATAAATAATCATTTTCCAGTGCCATTCAAAGAACTTACCAGAAGGATGTCCTGAGAAGATTTGCCGGTCCATATTTAGTGAGGTTCAGACACAGACACTGTCCCAGGGGGACAGACGAATAGCATATAACATTTTCTCTGTCCTCCTCACCACCAGTCTTCCAGGTAAACTTATTTTCTTATTTTACCTATAATGGACTTATACTAGTTATTGCTTACAGATGAACTAAAACCACTGCAATTTGTATACAGGTTGTAACAAGTATGTTTTCTACAAATTAAACCATTGACACAGTAATGCATATTTTGAAGCCAACTCTTTCTATTAAAGATATCAGCTTCATGCTCAAACCATGTTTTATGTCGTGGTGCGGCGTCCGTCGTCTGTCCGTCCTCGTCCGTCAACTTTTCCTTTAAACAACTTCTTCTGAAGAATGGACAGGCCTAGAGTCATGATATTTGTCTGAAAGCTTTGTTGGTAGGAACCCTACAAAGTTTGAGAACGAAAATGACCTTGACCTACTTTAAAGGTCACAGGGGTCAAATATGTCAAAAACTTCAAACGACTTCTTCTGAAAAACTCAAAGGTATAGAATCTTTATATTTGCTTGGTGGCTTCCTGGAATAGAAGCCAACAAAGTTTGAGAATGAAAATTAGTTTGACCTACTTTCAAGGTCACAGGGGTCAAATATGTCAAAAACTTCAAACAACTTCTTCTGAAGAACTAAAAGGTATAGAATCTTCATATTTGGCTGATGGCTTCCTGGGATGGAGCTTAACAAAGTTTGAGAATGAAAATGACCTTGACCTACTTTCAAGGTCACAGGGGTCAAATGTGTCAAACACCTCAAATGACTTCTGAAGAACTAAAAAGTACAGAATCTTCATATTTGGCTGATTGGTTCCTGGGATATAGCCCAACAAAGTTTGAGAATGAAAATTACCTTGACCTACTTTCAAAGTCACAGGGGTCAAATGTGTCAAAAGCTTCAAATGACTTCTTCTGAAGAACTGAAAGGTATAGAATTTTTATATTTGGCTGGTGGCTTCCTGGGATAGAGCCCAACAAAGTTTGAGGAAGAAAATTAGTTTGACCTACTTTCAAGGTCACATGGGTCAGATATGTCAAAAACTTCAAACGTCTTCTTCTGAAGAATTTTAAGGTATAGAATCTTCATATTAGGCTGATTGGTTCCTGGATGGAGCCCAACAAAGTTTGAGAATGAAAATGACCTTGTTCTACTTTCAAGGTCACAGGGGTCAAATGTGTCAAAAGCTTCAAATGACTTCTTCTGAAGAACTGGAAGTTATAGAACCTTAATATTCGGCTGGTTATTTCCTGGGAAAGAGCCCAACAAAGTTTGCGAATGAAAGTGACCTTGACCTACTTTCAAGGCCACAGAGGTCAACATTTTAATGGATTTGTTCATAAGAACTAAAAGGAATGGATTCATAAGATTTGGCTGGGAGCTTTTGGAATAGAGCTTACCAATTTGAGAAGGAAAATGACATTGACTTACTTACAAGGTCACAGGGGAAAATATGTCAAGCAACTTGTGAAGAATCTAAAAGCATAGAATCTTGTAATAATATTTTGCTGGTAGTTTCAACAGATGGAGCCAACAAAGTTTGCGAGGGAAATATTTTTAGTGCAATATAATATTTAATGAGAATATTTTGCTATGACTGCTTAAATATTCAGGTGAGCGATACAGGCCCTCTTGGGCCTCTTGTATTATGTTATCACAATGTTGTCTGGTCCTTACCGTAACACAGTTATAGAAATGAAATAACTTGTAATTAGTACAGATAAACTAAAGCTGCTGCAATTTGTATTCAGTTTGTAACAAGCACATTTCTTTCAATTAAGACCATTTACAGCCTAATACATTTTTGAAATCTTTTGGAGATTTTGTGTATGTGGTGAGATTTATACAAAGATTCTGCTATCTTTCCGTCCTTGTCGTTACAGAGCTACAGAAGATAGGCAGTGACTTCGTTCTGGGCTATATACAGGCCATGGATGCTGAAAAGGATCCACGCAACTTAGTGATAGCCTTTCACTGTGCTACTACTATTATCCGTAACTTCCAGTTGGGTATGTCATTACTTGGTTGGGTATGTCATTACTTGGTTGGGTATGTCAGTACTTGGTTGGGTATGTCATTACTTGGTTGGGTATGTCATTACTTGGTTGGGTATGTCATTACTTGTGATTTGTGTAAATCTCTTGCATGACTCCAGATTACTTTTTCTCCTATTATAATAACAAAAATATAAAAATGAAAATTTAAGCCTGCATTAACTTACGTTTCCCTGACAACAATAGTGCTTTTTCAGTGATATTTGAAATGTGTTACATTTTGTAGGTTTATTAAGCTAACAATGTAAGAGGGACAGGCCTGGCGATTAGTAACATTTTCAGGAGAACACTGATTTAATAAGACTTATGAAGAAAAAAGTTGTGTTACATTCCAATCAACAAACTAATACAACACCTATGCCAAAGTCTTTAGAATATCTTCACATATTACTATAATTAACTTATACGTTTTACAGTACCAGGGTTTTATTGACATCCCTTTTGAGTCCTTCCTATTCCCCTTATAAATTTAATGTAATCAAATTCTCATAATTTTCAAAGTAAAAATGTCCAGATCCCAAATAAAAACTTTGTTGTTGTTTTTGTTGTTGGAAGCTGCAGTTCAAAGTGATTGAATATCCAACTGTGGAAATATACCCTTGAGATTTGTTATTTTATACCCAATTTTAATTTATGGCCCCTCGACCCCAATGAAAAAGAAGTATTAAGATGCAGCTTTGAACTGTTTACAGGGGTGTTTGTGGAGGAGATGTTTGAAGTGGTATCCTGTTACTTTCCAGTGGACTTCACTCCAGTAAGTCTGCTCATCACTGGCCAACTTTTAATAGATATAGGTGTACACCTTTCCAGTGGACTTCACTCCAGTAAGTCTGCTCATCACTGGCCAACTTTTAATAGATATAGGTGTACACCTTTCAAGTGGACTTCACTCCAGTAAGTCTGCTCATCACTAGCCAACTTTTGATAGATATAGGTGTACACCTTTCCAGTGGACTTCACTCCAGTAAGTCTGCTCATCACTGGCCAACTTTTAATAGATATAGGTGTACACCTTTCCAGTGGACTTCACTCCAGTAAGTCTGCTCATCACTGGCCAACTTTTAATAGATATAGGTGTACACCTTTCCAGTGGACTTCACTCCAGTAAGTCTGCTCATCACTGGCCAACTTTTAATAGATATAGGTGTACACCTTTCAAGTGGACTTCACTCCAGTAAGTCTGCTGCTCATCACTGGCCAACTTTTAATAGATATAGGTGGTCACCTTTCCAGTGGACTTCACTCCAGTAAGTCTGCTCATCACTGGACAACTTTTAATAGATATGTACAGCTTAGACCAAATTGCTCGATTACTAAGTGGGTTAGGCTGTTATTATATGTAGTGATAATGATATGCTTTGAAGATAGTGGTACTCTTTAGATTTCCTGCCAGATTTACCTATTATTTGTCATGTTCTGTACAGCCGCCTGGTGACCCCAATGGAGTTACTAAGGAAGACCTCATCCTTGGTCTGCGCGGCTGTTTGGCCGCTAGCGGGCAGTTTGGTCAGTACTGTTGTCCACTACTTTTGGAAAAACTGTCTTCTGATGTGACCAGTGCTAAAGTGGACTCACTTAGGACTTTGGTAAGTGTCCCAGTATATGTTATAGAGTCTTTGAGTACTCGTTAATTTATATTATAGAGTCTTTGAGTACTCGTTAAGTTTATATTATAGCGTCTTTGAGTACTCGTTAAGTTTATATTATAGAGTCTTTGAGTACTCGTTAAGTTTATATTATAGAGTCTTTGAGCCTGCTAAGTTTATATTATAGAGTCTGAGTACTCGCTAAGTTTATATTATAGAGTCTTTGAGTACTCGTTAAGTTTATATTATAGAGTCTTTGAGTACTCGCTAAGTTTATATTATAGAGGCTTTGAGTACTCTTTAAGTTTATATTATAGAGTCTTTGAGTACTCGGTAAGTTTATATTATAGAGTCTTTGAGTACTCGCTAAGTTTATATTATAGAGTCTCTGAGTACTCGTTAAGTTTATATTATAGAGTCTTTGAGCTTGCTAAGTTTATATTATAGAGTCTGAGTACTCGCTAAGTTTATATTATAGAGTCTTGGAGTACTCGTTAAGTTTATATTATAGAGTCTTTGAGTTCTCGCTAAGTTTATATTATAGAGTCTTTGAGTACTCTTTAAGTTTATATTATAGAGTCTTTGAGTACTCGGTAAGTTTATATTATAGAGTCTTTGAGTACTCGCTAAGTTTATATTATAGCGTCTTTGAGTACTCGCTAAGTTTATAGTTGGGATTTCAAGCAATTTGTGAAACTTGAATGTTGCATGTTATCAATCAGATGAATTGGACTTGTCTAATCTGTAAACATCAATAGCTCTGCAGCTTTTGGATAGGCTTGAAACCTGTGCAACTGGTATTGTTGGCAGCATTGTACAAGAGCCTATGTTGGTTCACTCATTTTAATTTAAAATTTTATAAATGGTATAGATGTGTCAAGCTCCCATTATTTTTCCTGCCTGAATTGTCAAAATATAAGAGAAAGAAAATGATGGTACATCAGATGTCCCCTCCCACATTTAAAGATGTTCTTCATTTATATTTAATTCAGGTAATCATTATTTGTAAAAGGTAAGTAAGAAATGTCCTAGTGTTTATAATTGAACCAGTCTTATTGTTTCACTTGCAGGAAGCAGCAGCTAAGGTGTATGGGTCTAAATGTTTGCTGGAGTATAGGACGTCATTGTTTGGTTGTATCAAACGAGAGGTAGGTCTTATATCATCAACTTGATTTCATTGCTGCTAAATTTCTTATCCTAAAATTCCAAAAACTATATAAATCTCTTAATTGTGAGTACTGGCCCGGGTAAATTAAGTATAGTATGTGTATGAGTTGTACTGTTTAACCTATCACAGTACCGTAAAAATAAACATTATAAAGTTTGTTAAATAATATACATTGAGGTTGTGAAATAATATACATTAAACTTGTGAAATAATGTACATTAAGCTTTAGAAATAATATACATTAAACTTGTGAAATAATATACATTAAACCTGTGAAATAATATACATTAAGCTTGTGAAATAATATACATTAAACCTGTGAAATAATATACATTAAGCTTTAGAAATAATATACATTAAGCTTGTGAAATAAAATACATTAAACCTGTGAAATAATATACATTAAACCTGTGAAATAATATACATTAAGCTTGTGAAATAATATACATTAAGCTTGGGAAATAATATACTTTAAGCATGTGAAATAATAACATTAAGCTTGTGAAATAATGTGCATAAAGCTTGTGAAATAATATGCATTAAGCTTGTGAAATAATATACATTAAGCATGTGAAATATTATACATTAAGCTTGTGAAATAATATACATTAAACTTGTGAAATAATGTACATTAAGCTTGTGAAATAATGTACATTAAGCTTGTGAAATAATATACCACTTTAAGTTTGTGAAATAATTAAGTTTGTGAAATATTAACTATGCAGAGTAAACCTACAGGACCACTGTCACATGCTGTTTATACTTTAAAGGTGTTTGGATCTGGAGATGAGGAGCTCGAGGCTGCAGCTCTTTTGGCTCTCACTGCCATGACAACCACCTTCTCACAGGAAGTAAGTGTGTTTATAGATATTAATGTACTTCATGTGTAAAATATGATATGCATAGCATTCTAAATCTGTAAAATTCTGATATTTCAATGTGTTACTGACTTGAAAGAACACTACCAATTTGACAACCATGTAAATTACTTTTGTGATCTGTGCCTACGTTTACTTTCTTTTTCAAGATAAGACCTCATAACAAGATATAATCATCTGTTGTATAAATTGTGTTGATATCTTTTTCACAGACTATCATCACAGACAGTCAGACATGTGCTGAGGAATTTGTGTCAGAGATCTGGAATGGTAAAGTATCCTGATATACTACAAATATTGTACTTAGTGGTATGATATTTTAACACTTTTTTTACACTAGCTCGAAAAGCTTAGCCATGATAAACATTAAGTGTGAAATCTATATATAGTCTTGCCTTTACATATATACCTGTAGCACACAATCAGGATGCATGTCACCTGAAAATTGTCATCTATATGAGGAAATATGAGTGTAACAATAAGTACATACATGCTACCAATCTGTTGGAAATTGGAAAAGTACCATGAGCAAAGGATGCAAATATATTTTGCAAAAAGATAAATTTTCAGTTAGTGTCAAGACATGTTCAGTTTCAATGCTACATTCAATATAAATTCCATAACATTCATTGTAAATTCAGAAGAATGGTCCAGAATTAAAACAACTACTTTTAAATCAAAGTTTTGATGATTTCAGTTTCACAATATACATACAATGCTTTATGTCCAATGTTCTGCCCATGGATAAACTGGTATGACAGATTCTAACAATAGAAATATGTGTGTGTGAAGGAATAAGGTGAACTGCTAATTGTAAGGAGAAAATAGCTTCAATTATGTGTAGCGATGATAAGATTTGATATTCAGAAATTGTAATTTTGATGGCAACTTTTTTTTAAGTAGAAGGTGAAATATATTTCCAGGAATATTAAAAAAATATCAAAGGATTAAGCCTGAAGTTTATGAAGGCATCCTGTATTTGTTATCAATTTCAGAATGTAGCCGTTACCTAGGCGATGATGATTTACGCCTAATGGTCCCCACGTGTCGTCTCCTCTGTGCTGTGGCAGCAGGATCAGAGGTCACTTGCTGTAAAGTTCTGTCCCTGGTGGTGACACGTCTAGTCCAGATATTCTACAGCCATCCACAGGTATTAACACTCGTTCTGTGGTCTGTCTATGTGGTCAGTCTATGTGGTCAGTCTATGTGGCCAGTCTATGTGATCAGTCTATGTGGTCAGTCTATCTGGCCAGTCTATGTGGTCCGTCTATGTGATCTGTCTATGTGGTCAGTCTAAGTGGTCAGTCTATGTGATCAGTCTATGTGGTCAATCTATGTGATCAGTCTATGTGATGAGTCTATGTGGTCAGTCTATGTGATCTGTCTATGTGATCTGTCTATATGATCAGTCCATGTGATCAGTCTATGTGATCAGTCTATGTGATCAGTCTATGGGGTCAGTCTATGTGATCAGTCTATGTGGTTAATCTATGTGATCAGTCTATGTGATCAGTCTATGTGGTCAGGCTATGTGGTCAGTCTATGTGATCTGTCTATGTGATCTGTCTATATGATCAGTCCATGTGATCAGTCTATGTGATCAGTCCATGTGGTCATTCTATGTGGTCAGTCTATGTGATCAGTCTATATGATCAGTCTATGTGATCAGTCTATGTGATCAGTCTATGTGATCAGTCTATGGGGTCAGTCTATGTGATCAGTCTATGTGGTCAGGCTATGTGGTCAGTCTATGTGATCTGTCTATGTGATCGGTCTATATGATCAGTCCATGTGATCAGTCTATGTGGTCAGTCTACGTGATCAGTCTATGTGGTCAGTCTATGTGGTCAGTCTATATGATCAGTCCATGTGATCAGTCTATGTGATCAGTCCATGTGGTCATTCTATGTGGTCAGTCTATGTGATCAGTCTATTTGGTCAGTCTATGTGGTCAGTCTATATGATCAGTCCATGTGATCAGTCTATGTGGTCAGTCTACGTGATCAGTTTATGTGGTCAGTCTATGTGGTCAGTCTATGTGACCTGTCTATGTGGTCAGTCTATGTGGTCAGTCTAGGTGATCTGTCTATGTGGTCAGTCTATGTGGTCCGTCTATGTGGTCAGTCTATGTGGTCAGTCTATGTGTTCAGTCTATGTGGTCAGTCTATGTGATCAGTCTATTTGGTCAGTCTATGTGGTCAGTCTATATGATCAGTCTATGTGATCAGTCTATGTGATCAGTCTATGGGGTCAGTCTATGTGATCTGTCTATGTGGTCAGTCTAAGTGGTCAGTCTATGTGATCAGTCTATGTGGTCAGGCTATGTGGTCAGTCTATGTGATCTGTCTATGTGATCTGTCTATATGATCAGTCCATGTGATCAGTCTATGTGGTCAGTCTACGTGATCAGTTTATGTGGTCAGTCTATGTGGTCAGTCTATGTGTTCAGTCTATGTGGTCAGTCTATGTGATCAGTCTATGTGATCAGTCCATGTGGTCATTCTATGTGGTCAGTCTATGTGATCAGGCTATGTGGTCAGTCTATGTGATCAGTCTATGTGGTCAGTCTATCTGGCCAGTCTATGTGGTCCGTCTATGTGATCTGTCTATGTGGTCAGTCTATGTGATCTGTCTATGTGATCTGTCTATATGATCAGTCCATGTGATCAGTCTATGTGATCAGTCTATGTGATCAGTCCATGTGGTCATTCTATGTGGTCAGTCTATGTGATCAGGCTATGTGGTCAGTCTATGTGATCAGTCTATGTGATCAGTCTATGGGGTCAGTCTATGTGATCAGTCTATGTGGTCAATCTATGTGATCAGTCTATGTGATCAGTCTATGGGGTCAGTCTATGTGATCAGTCTATGTGGTTAATCTATGTGATCAGTCTATGTGATCAGTCTATGTGATCAGTCCATGTGGTCATTCTATGTGGTCAGTCTATGTGATCTGTCTATATGATCAGTCCATGTGATCAGTCTATGTGATCAGTCTATGTGATCAGTCCATGTGATCAGTGTGCTAAAGTTTTGTGATCTGCTGTTGACACCACCTCAGTGTAATGGCCTTCTAACATGTGTAGGTGACTGTAACTGCTGAACTTCACAAACAAAAACCAAAGTTTGGAGAGAACTCAAATGGTAGATGCTCATAATGTATAGTGCTTTGGTTTCATGTCATGTATTTTTCGCAATCATGTAGAAAAAATGAACGTCTGCAGTGGTAAATTCATGGTTTTGAGATCATGAAAGAGTTAAATTTGGGATTAACATTACCACAACATACACTGTAAATCAATATTCAGGAAGAGATTTCTGAATTTTTTGCCCACCATCATCTATTCAAATCGCCCTGCGTCCGTGGTCCGTCGTCCGCCGTCCGTCGTCCGGTCTCAAGAAGTACTTGAGGGATCTTTCTCAAATTTCATATGTAGGTTCCCCTTGGTCCTTAGCTGTGCAGGGCAACTTTTGAGACTGATCGAATAAACAACATGGCCGACAGGCAGCCATCTTGGATTTTGATATTGAACGTTTGTTATCGCTATTTCTCAAGAAGTACCAGATGGATCTTTCTCAAATTTTTTATGTATGTTTTCCTTGGTCCTAAGCTGTGCAGGGCATTTTTTGAGACTGATCGGATAAACAACATGGCCGACAGACAGCCATCTTGGATTTGATATTTAAAGTTTGTTTTCGCTATTTCTCAAGAAGTACCAGAGGGATCTTTTTCAAATTTCATATGTAGGTTCCCCTTGGTCCTTAGTTGTACAGGGCAACCTTTGAGACTGATTGGAGAAACAACATGGCTGACAGGCAGCCAACTTGGATTTTGATATTGAAAGTTTGTTATCACTATTTCTCAAGAAGTACCATAGGGATCTTTCTCAAATTTTATATGTAGGTTTTCCTTGGTCCTAAGCTGTGCAGGGCAACTTTTGAGACTGATCGGATTAACAACATGGCCGACAGGCAGCCATCTTGGATTTGATATTTAAAGTTTGTTTTTCGCTATTTCTCAAGAAGTACCAGAGGGATCTTTTTCAAATTTCATATGTAGGTTCCCCTTGGTCCTTAGTTGTACAGGGCAACCTTTGAGACTGATTGGAGAAACAACATGGCCGACAGGCAGCCAACTTGGATTTTGATATTGAAAGTTTGTTATCACTATTTCTCAAGAAGTACCATAGGGATCTTTCTCAAATTTTATATGTAGGTTTTCCTTGGTCCTAAGCTGTGCAGGGCAACTTTTGAGACTGATCGGATTAACAACATGGCCGACAGGCAGCCATCTTGGATTTGATATTTAAAGTTTGTTTTTCGCTATTTCTCAAGAAGTACCAGAGGGATCTTTTTCAAATTTCATATGTAGGTTCCCCTTGGTCCTTAGTTGTACAGGGCAACCTTTGAGACTGATTGGAGAAACAACATGGCCGACAGGCAGCCAACTTGGATTTTGATATTGAAAGTTTGTTATCACTATTTCTCAAGAAGTACCATAGGGATCTTTCTCAAATTTTATATGTAGGTTTTCCTTGGTCCTAAGCTGTGCAGGGCAACTTTTGAGACTGATCGGATTAACAACATGGCCGACAGGCAGCCATCTTGGATTTTGATATTGAAAGTTTGTTATCACTATTTCTCAAGAAGTACCATAGGGATCTTTCTCAAATTTTATATGTAGGTTCCTCTTGGTCCTTAGTTGTGCAGGGCAACTTTTGAGACTGATCTGATAAACAGCATGGCCGACAGGCAGCCATCTTGGATTTTGATATTGAAAGTTTGTTATCACTATTCCTCAAGAAGTATCAGAGGGATCTTTCTCAAATTTTATATGTATGTTCCCCTTAGTCCTTAGTTGAGCAGGACAACTTTTGAGACTGATCGGATAAACAACATGGCCGACAGGCAGCCATCTTGGATTTTGATAGTGAAAGTTTGTTATCGCTATTTCTCGGGAAGTACCAGAGGGATCTTTCTCAAATTTTATATGTAGGTTCCCCTTGATCTCTCGTTGTGCATGTTATATTTTGAGACTGATCATTAAAACAAAATGGATTAAAAGAAGAACTAAACAGATCTTTCTCATATTGCAATGATCGATTCTATTTCTTTCACATTAAGTACTGTACAAGTAAATATGTGAAATGGCAAACTCACTTTGAAAGTTGGCTTTCATACACATCAGTATTAAGTTTAGATCAAAAGTTACCTCAAGGTGCATTAATGTTAGCATGACTCGAGCAAACAGGTTAGAGGAAAGAAGAGAAAAGATCGAACTGACAAAGAACTAATGAAGAGGGTACAAAGGTGGGCGCCAAGACCCCTTTGGGATCTCTTGTTATTGATAAACATTTTAAACTTATTCTCTGTTAATTATTTGTTGGGATTTGCAGGCATCGGACAGAAAAGCTGTCATGGAGTCAATACACAGTTTTCTCCGAGTCACGAGACAGATTCGCTCTGAAAAAGGTAAACAACCAATAAAATAACAAATATATCCCTGTTGTTAAAACACAGCTGATGCTTTTAAAAAAATAATGATCTTTTAAAAGTGCATATGATTTTACATTGTGGTCGAAACTCACATGATTTTATGAGCAGCATGTAAAGATAAATTTATTTACTATTGTCTAATTCGTGACATTTCATTTTTCTATTCTAGTAAAGAAGTCTATAAGTGAATTCCAGAACTCAGTTTATGCTGTAGTCATGTCTGCCATATCTGAGAGTAATGTCCAGTTGAGAGTAGCCGCTGTCCAGTGTCTGGACACCTTTCTACAGCTACCATTGACCTTGGCTGTAACTGACCCTCCTGTAATGGCTAAAGTACTGGTGGACAGGGCATTCACAGATGAGGACAAAGATGTCCGGTTAGTAACAGATGGATTCTAAGGGAGAGCATTCTAATTGGTTGTCAATGAAACCAGGGAAATGCTCACATTTTATTCCTAACATAGGTGTCCCCCACTGAAACCTCCAATGATATCTCCCTTATTCCACATTTCAAATGAGGGAGAAAGCGCATGAAATGCGACTGAAACTGCTTTCCTGAAATTATCTTTTCCTGTATATGTATCAAAAGGCATTCATTTGGTTCAGACACACCTGTTATGAGTACACACACCCTGCAGTAACTAGGAGATCATTTGGTTCAGACACACCTGTTATGAGTACACACACCCTGCAGTAACTAGGAGATCATTTGATCACAGGATGTAGATTTTGAGTTTGTGTGAGTTTGGACTTGAATGAGGGAGTTTCGAAATTGGTAAATTTTGGTCATAATTAGGGAGTCTCCCACCTAATGAAGGAGGGTTGACAGCTATGTCCTAACATTTCCTGACCAATGCATTTCTTGATCTGATACTCATTGAAGTCTTAAGAAATACATAATTGTGAGGCCAGATGTTATTAGAAAAACGGTTTGTTTACAAACAAACAAAAAATCTTTATTTGTTGACTCTAATTGATCTCTGTATAAATTATTGATAGGTAATCTCTTAATTAATTCTATTGTGTGACTTTTATAAATAAGCATCTTGTCTAAAGTGAGGTTCCCTGATTTGTATATTTTGAACTATATCAGAAAATACCCATCGTCTTCTAATAGATGAGATAAAAACTAGGTTTTTAGCTCACCTGCCTATGCCATGGTGCGGCATCCGTCATCCATTCGTCGTCAACTTTTTACTTTAAACAACTTCTTCTCAGTAACCAAAAGGCCTAGGATAATGATATATGGCCAGTAGCATGCTGTGATGAAGGGCTACCAAGTTTGTTCAAATAAATGACCTTCGCCCATTTTCAAGGTCACAGGGGTCAAATATGACAAAAATATTTTTAACAACTTCTTCTCAATAACCAAGAGGCCTAGGGTGATGCTATTTGGCCAGTAACATGCTGGGATAAAGGCTAACAAGTTTGTTCAAATAAATGACCTTGACTTATATTCAAGGTCACAGGGGTCAGATATTTTTAAAACCTTTTTACAACTTCTTCACAATAACCAAAAGGCCTAGGATGATTATATATGGCCAGTAGCATGCTGGGATGAAGGGCTACCAAGTTTGTTCAAATAAATGACCTTCGCCCATTTTCAAGGTCACAGGGGTCAAATATGACAAAAATATTTTTAACAACTTCTTCTCAATAACCAAGAGGCCTAGGGTGATGCTATTTGGCCAGTAACATGCTGGGATAAAGGCTAACAAGTTTGTTCAAATAAATGACCTTGACTTATATTCAAGGTCACAGGGGTCAGATATTTTTAAAACCTTTTTACAACTTCTTCACAATAACCAAAAGGCCTAGGATGATTATATATGGCCAGTAGCATGCTGGGATGAAGGGCTACCAAGTTTGTTCAAATAAATGACCTTCGCCCATTTTCAAGGTCACAGGGGTCAAATATGACAAAAATATTTTTAACAACTTCTTCTCAATAACCAAGAGGCCTAGGGTGATGCTATTTGGCCAGTAACATGCTGGGATAAAGGCTAACAAGTTTGTTCAAATAAATGACCTTGACTTATATTCAAGGTCACAGGGGTCAGATATTTTTAAAACCTTTTTACAACTTCTTCACAATAACCAAAAGGCCTAGGATGATTATATATGGCCAGTAGCATGCTGGGATGAAGGGCTACAAAGATTGTTAAAATGAATGATCTTGACTTATCTTCAAGGTCACAGGAGTCAAATATGTTTTAAAACCTTTAAACAACTTCTTTTCAATATTCAAAGGGCCTAGGATGATGATATTTGGCCAGTAGCAAGCTGTGATGAAAGGCTGTAAAGTATGTTAAAACTAATGTCCTTGTTCGCATTTCAAGGTCACAGGGGTCATATGTTTAAATCTTTTAATAGATTTTTTAATCAAACAATGAAACTTTGCCTGTAGCTGTATTTTAGTCCACTTTCAAGATTACAAGTGTAAGATTTAATACCATGTGAGCGATTCAGGCCCATTGTGCCTCTTGTTATTGGGTTTTTTTTCCTTTCAGTTTCAGCTGCTGTAGTGTCCTTTCCACCATGGCTAAAACTGATGCAGCAACTCTGAAATCTGTGGTATTGCCTTGTCTACTGGAGAAACTGAGAACAAGTTTGTAACATTTTATTCCTTATAATGTAACTTGTCATACCGCAATTAACCAGTGATAAGACCACTGGGTACAGGATGCATGAGAAAAAGTCCTCATTTAATGGGACAAATACAATATGAAAAGGGGAGGGTAAGTTTTTAAGGTTATGGTACAATTAGTTGTGGGTTAACTCATTCACCCCTGAACTTTCATAATGAACTATTCCAAGCTTTGAATCTGAAGAGTTAAAATCTGTCTTCAGGGGTGAGTGAGTTAAGGAAGGTTGGGAGTGAGGGAAGTACCAGGTAATGAGGTAGGGACAGCGAGGTTAGATAATGAAACAGTCTTTGTCTATAACAGAAAATTATTGTAGAATTTTTAAAAATACATAAAATAAATAAATATACAACATTTGATATAGCGCCCTATCTAGCTAACTTAAACCACTCTAAAGCGCTTTACAGTACATAGATATACAATTTAATACAATGAATACAATTAGCATATACATTAATCGATACAATTTTGAGGAATTCCCAGGAACTGCCTTATCAGGCACTAACTACTAGTCCTATACCATCTGGATAATATCTCCCTATGTGTGTACGCCTGCGTGTGTGCTGGAGATGTATTGTGTTCTGTTTGTAGTGGGACCGTACTTCCAACAGTATCATTTATATAGTGCCACCTCACTTGAATGCCACAGCACAGATACCGCAACATCCACCCCAGACCATTTTATACCACACCTGGGTTGTTAAAACATGTTTCATTTTTGTATCCATACTTGTTTCTGGCCCTCGCCATATCCTCACATGTTCTTCTACACATTGGACTAATCATATGCTGAATTGACTGTTATAATTCTTCACACAGAACCAATGGATGTTGATGGCTCCGATCCTGAACAACATCACATGGTATTTACCGCACTGGCAGCCATTTCTGTCACCACGGAGATCCTGAGCTTAGTTGTCAAGGAGCTTGTCAGCTACCTGTCCTGTCTGGCACAGAGTAAGTTCACCCAAACAATCAATGGGGTTCTTAGGACCTACCCTGTATCTTAACTGTGAATAAGTTTCTAGCTGTATAGATTATATCCTTATCTGAAGCTTACAATAGTTTCAATACAGTAGACAATATACTTTTATAAAGATCTTTTTAATTTGTATAATCCTGATCAGCTTTGTCTTAGTAGAAGGCAAACCTTATGTTTCTAGCTACTGGGTTTACCCAGTTTTCTTCTAAAATCTGTCTGTTTTAGAAGTTTAAATGCAGCAAATAATTTGTTAAATTCTTTTCTCACAGATATTCATTTTATCATGTAATGTTACTTTATAAGCTGTACAAATAAAATGTTCAGTGTGTATTGACCTCCCTTGGGGATACTCTGTGTTTCCCTCATACAAAAGAAGTTAATGTTTGATGTTGATACACAGTGTCCACTGGGGAGCCAGACGTCCAGTCTGTGGCCAGCTGTTTATCGGTCATCACTACATCTGCTGTATCACGACCAGACATGCTGACTGTCCTTTACAGTCACACCCTGCCGGAACTCTTCAGTCTTCTTGTATCCATGGCAACAGATTCTAGCCATCACAATAGCTGTGTGCACAATGAAGATGTCCTACAGCATCTAACCACCTGTGTTCGTCAGATTGTTGTACATTTAAATGAAAAGTAAGTCCAGGAAAACTCACAGTCTGTTAAAGTTCTTATTTGTGTGTGGTCTTTTCATATTAGAAAACAGCCGGTAGAATTATTTTAAAAGTTATGTAAGAGCTGCATATGTCTAGCATACATAAATCAAAGGCAACTTCCAATACATGAGACATATAGTAAAATTAAAACAATTGAATACATTGTAATTAGAAATATCTGTGATTCATTTTGTATAAATGTATGCATAATACATCATCAGTACCAAGTAAGCTTGTTTTTTGTACAGGAGATTGACAGAGTTGTGCAGGTGTCTGACACAGCTATATCTACACAACGAGACAGCATACCTTTCCTGTACACCCTCCACACCTTTCTATCCACTACAGGTAGGCATAACTAAGGATACAGGTGTGATTGACTCTAGATCTCCTACCACTTTATATAAATGCATGCGATATAATTACTTTCAGTTAGAATTAACTTTGCAAAGAGTTAACCTGCATTCAATACACATTTATAAGAAACATTTTTTTTCCTACATTTTATTTTACATCACAGACTTCATCACCATGGCAACAGACAGAATTGATAACCCTAGCATCCCCTGTGATATGTTCCTGTCCTGTTGAGGTAAGAGTTTCACTAGTGTGTATGATGGTTGATCTGATGGTAGTGGTGACAGAATGAAATAACACATTGTCAAGATTATTATATCTAATTATTACTGCATATTTAATATGTTCATGGAGTTCGAAATTCTAGAAAAATAATGTAATGGTAATAACATTTAATACCCAATGAAAATTATTTCCATGTTATAACAAGTATGATATGATAATGATAATTGCCAATGAGTTCTTTGAAATTTAATACCTGAAAATATGCTCCGGTCTTCTCACCATGAAATTTGAACTCCATTGAAATTTCACAATGTGTAGAGATATTTTAATTCAATTTCTGCATATAAGAATCAGAAAAGGCAGAATTGATGATTTTCAATGAACACAGTTTCATTGTTCATAGCTTTACTTTTGCCCAAACAGGTTCTGGAGTCCAGTCTGTCCGATTACAGCCAGCAGTTGTGGTCACTTTCCCTCCAGTCAGACCATAAACTAACCAGGAGAACTGCTGCTAAATGTTTGGCTGGACTCATCAACAGGTGGCCCACTGGTCAGTATTTTATATGATACAGATTGTTGATAGTCAATAAAAACGATACTGTTTTATAATATTGATAACATCTTACCTTACACATAATGTTTTACGGGTAAAAGTGGAGATTTTTACATCAGTGCTTTTTTTTGAGATTTTTTGTACGATAAGTTTGGGGTAGTGATGCTTCTGCTATCATATTTATAATGTGTCAATGTGTTCTGCATCATGTTATGTGTTATAGGATGTCAATGTGTTTCATATCCGATATGATCTAGTAAAAGAAAGTCTTGATGCCTTTTATACATACATTATTAAGCATTTTGTAAATATTGCACCTTCTCCCTTATTATGACATTGGCTGTTGTACATCTAAACCATTAATAATCTGGTCACATTTTATAACACATCTGTAACATTTCATTACAAGTGACAGAATATCATACTAAGATTCACTACATAACACAAACGTCACATGATAATACTGATACACCAAATCTTTTTATTCTAATCTCAATATTTGTTAGCAAAGCATTGCCTTGTCATTTCTTTTCTTAATCGTCTTGTTTATCATTTTCCAGGTGAAAGTCTACTGAATTTTTTACAGTCATCAATTGACACAATAAATAGTGTTCTGGGAAGTGACACTGTGGAAGGTAGAAAAAGAGCTGCACTGAATCAGCTGATCTGGTTCACAAAGGCTCTTGCCATGAGAGGCCATAGCAAAGCTAAGGATTTTATCTCAATGGTGATTATTTTTATCTGGATTTATGTTGAATTGAACTTTCAGTCAAGTTTTACTACGGCTAATGTAGAGTCAGTGCAGATGAATTTCAAAATATCGGCATGTTTCACAGGATAACATGTGTTATCAGATATCACATAGAAAAGTTTGTTCGGTTTGAAGCCATTCTATTAGTACCCAATTGATACTACTAGAGAGTGAAATAGGTCAGCACTCTGTATGACAGTCGGTCCATCACTGTGTCTGGGTTATACTTCTAAACTCTGTCACCTAGGATTGTATATTTTGAAGTATATCAAAATACGCATCGTCTTCCAATAGATAGATAAAAACTGGGTTTTTAGCTCACCTGCCCGAAGCAAAACTTTGTTTGCAAGTACCCCACAAGAGTAGGATGGCAAAGTGTTGAAACTTGAAAAATGTTTCATGCTATATTTCATGTGGTATTTCTCAAAAGCATTATTGATTGTGTAAAAATATCAGACCTCTGTGCTTTGAAGGTAAAAGGTAAAACTTGTTCTGTAATACAAACTTGCCACCAGTAATAGCTACAGAATAAGGTTTACTCCTCTTTCTATGTTCGGATTAATCAGTGTAGCTTCCTCAGTGGTCCTGTTTTTTGTTTTTTTTATTAATGTACACATATGTTGTGACAGCTCACAAATCTATTGGATGACCAGTCCATTGGAGAACTGGCTGCTACTGGGTTCGAGATCATTCTAGGGGATTTCCCTGATGTACTCTCCAAGCCTCTTGGTGCTAACATACGGATAATGTACAAACAGAGGATATTTGTGGAAAATGTCGGGAGACTAAAAGAGGGGTTCGCCAGCTCCCCTCCTGGTGAGTGTGGTTAAGGAACGGTAATCCATTTGCCTCCAGTACTTTAACTGAGAAAAATGCATTACTGAAATAAGAAAGAAAAGCTATTAATTATATTTCTGTTAATAATTTGTTACAAACCAATATTAACTTCTCTTTCTGTGATCAGTCGATTTGGTTTTTTTATTGTCTTTCCCTGTCTGATTTTGAGTTAATAAAATTACATATATACTGACATTTTCTTAATTGATGTAAACATTTAATTTGCTATTTCACTCCAGCCACAAAGAAGAACTACCTGATCTGTTTATCACACATGCTGAAAATTCTCCCCAAACAAGTGCTGCTCAGTGAACTGCCACCAGTAAGTTAGGAATCACGATACAGTCAAATTTCGATAAATCAAACTTGGAAGATTCACAAATTTCTCGATGTGTTAAATTTTCTGCAAAGTCCAGATTTGTTTTCCTTATATCAAACTACTGATATTTCATCTATGAATCTTAACTTTAACAGGTCAAATTTCTTGCTGTTTCAAACTACAATCAAGGTCAGATCGTTAGGAAAACATTGAAAATTACAACTAAATATTGGAATGTCCAGGGGACATATCAACACCTTAACATGCAAACAATATTTTTCTTATAATGTTAAATCCAATATTGATAGATTTCAAATTAAATTTCTTGCCTTGTGTCCCATATCTTAACAATCACATTGGATTTTATGCAGTATATACAGAACCTCAAAAAGATGTTTACAGCTCAACATTCGCGAGTCGAAGTCTCCATGTTTCAATTGTTTTCCGATGGTCCCATAAAGTTCGAATTATTACTGTATAATGAAGTTGTCAAATAGCTAGTCTTTAACGTATTTGTGTATTGTTATATTACACGATTGTTAGAATTATGATGTAATACCTGTTGGTGGAACTAAGTCTTCCGTTACTGTAATCAGTGCAGTTACTCTTCCTTTTCCACAATAATAATTTGTGAACCGCTTTGAGACAACCTAAGTACAAGGTTGTGATAAAGCGGTATATATGAACCTCAAATTATTCTTATGGTTCACTTTTCATTTACTGTTGCAGTTATTCCCCCTGATGTTTCGCTTTTCATTTACTGTTGCAGTTATTCCCCCTGATGGTACACTCTTTGTTGTGTGATGACCTTGACCTTCAACTGTCCACCATGACGATATTATGTGACCTTACCCATGATGCACCTGATGTGATATCTAAGCATGTAGACACTCTTGTACCACAGTTACTCCAGCTGTGTACACATCCGTCCTCAATGGTAAGACACGGTTGTCCTAAGTTTCAATAATAAAAGTTCTTAAGGATCCCTGTACCACTGACATAAACTGTAACTTAGTGTTACTGCTTTTTCAGGATTGACCATAATTTTGATAAAACATTTCTAGAAAGAAAACCATAGCTTGCGAGACTTTTTTGAGAAAAAAATAACAATCAACAAGTTTTGAGTGTAAAAATTCATAGGGGCTAGACCAGGAATCTCATCCTAGATTGTGTCACTATGGCTCTAACCAATTGAGCTAGGGTACCTGGTCAATGAAAGTGTCCTAGTCTAACGGTGCTAAAGTTATCCAAAAGGAATTATATACGAAGTTAAGGGGAGGTTACTCTATATAGGAAAAACCACAAAAACACCCTTTGTTGATGATTTGTGTCACGGTTAAACCAGCATAGAATCCCAGGGATTATGCTCTCAGAATACATATATTCTCTACACCCTTGGACTATATATACATATTCTCTACACCCTTGGATGTATATATATATATTCTCTACACCCTTGGATGTATATATATATATTCTCTACACCTTTGGACGTATATATATATATTCTCTACACCCTTGGACGTATATATATATATTCTCTACACCCTTGGACGTATATATATATATTCTCTACACCCTTGGACGTATATATATATATTCTCTACACCCTTGGACGTATATATATATATTCTCTACACCCTTGGACGTATATATATATATTCTCTACACCCTTGGACGTATATATATATATTCTCTACACCCTTGGACGTATATATATATATTCTCTACACCCTTGGACGTATATATATATATTCTCTACACCCTTGGACGTATATATATATATTCTCTACACCCTTGGACGTATATATATATATTCTCTACACCCTTGGACGTATATATATATATTCTCTACACCCTTGGACGTATATATATATATTCTCTACACCCTTGGACGTATATATATATATTCTCTACACCCTTGGACGTATATATATATATTCTCTACACCCTTGGACGTATATATATATATTCTCTACACCCTTGGACGTATATATATATATTCTCTACACCCTTGGACGTATATATATATATTCTCTACACCCTTGGACGTATATATATATATTCTCTACACCCTTGGACGTATATATATATATTCTCTACACCCTTGGACGTATATATATATATTCTCTACACCCTTGGACGTATATATATATATTCTCTACACCCTTGGACGTATATATATATATTCTCTACACCCTTGGACGTATATATATATATTCTCTACACCCTTGGACGTATATATATATATTCTCTACACCCTTGGACGTATATATATATATTCTCTACACCCTTGGACGTATATATATATATTCTCTACACCCTTGGACGTATATATATATATTCTCTACACCCTTGGACGTATATATATATATTCTCTACACCCTTGGACGTATATATATATATTCTCTACACCCTTGGACGTATATATATATATTCTCTACACCCTTGGACGTATATATATATATTCTCTACACCCTTGGACGTATATATATATATTCTCTACACCCTTGGACGTATATATATATATTCTCTACACCCTTGGACGTATATATATATATTCTCTACACCCTTGGACGTATATATATATATTCTCTACACCCTTGGACGTATATATATATATTCTCTACACCCTTGGACGTATATATATATATTCTCTACACCCTTGGACGTATATATATATATTCTCTACACCCTTGGACGTATATATATATATTCTCTACACCCTTGGACGTATATATATATATTCTCTACACCCTTGGACGTATATATATATATTCTCTACACCCTTGGACGTATATATATATATTCTCTACACCCTTGGACGTATATATATATATTCTCTACACCCTTGGACGTATATATATATATTCTCTACACCCTTGGACGTATATATATATATTCTCTACACCCTTGGACGTATATATATATATTCTCTACACCCTTGGACGTATATATATATATTCTCTACACCCTTGGACGTATATATATATATTCTCTACACCCTTGGACGTATATATATATATTCTCTACACCCTTGGACGTATATATATATATTCTCTACACCCTTGGACGTATATATATATATTCTCTACACCCTTGGACGTATATATATATATTCTCTACACCCTTGGACGTATATATATATATTCTCTACACCCTTGGACGTATATATATATATTCTCTACACCCTTGGACGTATATATATATATTCTCTACACCCTTGGACGTATATATATATATTCTCTACACCCTTGGACGTATATATATATATTCTCTACACCCTTGGACGTATATATATATATTCTCTACACCCTTGGACGTATATATATATATTCTCTACACCCTTGGACGTATATATATATATTCTCTACACCCTTGGACGTATATATATATATTCTCTACACCCTTGGACGTATATATATATATTCTCTACACCCTTGGACGTATATATATATATTCTCTACACCCTTGGACGTATATATATATATTCTCTACACCCTTGGACGTATATATATATATTCTCTACACCCTTGGACGTATATATATATATTCTCTACACCCTTGGACGTATATATATATATTCTCTACACCCTTGGACGTATATATATATATTCTCTACACCCTTGGACGTATATATATATATTCTCTACACCCTTGGACGTATATATATATATTCTCTACACCCTTGGACGTATATATATATATTCTCTACACCCTTGGACGTATATATATATATTCTCTACACCCTTGGACGTATATATATATATTCTCTACACCCTTGGACGTATATATATATATTCTCTACACCCTTGGACGTATATATATATATTCTCTACACCCTTGGACGTATATAGATATATTCTCTACACCCTTGGACGTATATAGATATATTCTCTACACCCTTGGATGTATATATATATGTTCTCTACACCCTTGGACTATGTCGTGACAGAATCAAAGGTACAGTACATGTCATCTTGTAGGTGATACTAGTTGATTAGTCTGGACACTTTTACAGATTCCTGCATACCTTGATCTCTGTGATACCAGATAAAAGGAACGATGCGACAGCTCAACTGTAAAACTGGCTTACTTTTATTTAGGACTAGTCGCCAAGTAATCACCAAAGCACAGAGATAAGCCTAGTGATTGGACAATATTTTGAAGTCTGGAAATGACTAATTTAGTGCCTTTAATTTTGTCATGACATACTTCAAGTGCACAAAGAGATTTGTATGTACATATTGAGAGCGGAATCCTTGGACTTACAACACATTATGATATAGATACAGACAATTCCTTTTGCTTTACAAACTCAGAAAATCCGGATAAAGGCCTTGCGATGTATAAGTGCGCTGTGTGTTCTGCCTGTCCACCTACTGTTGCCATACAAAACCAGAGTGGTGCGAAGTCTAGAGCCGGTCCTTGATGATAGGAAGCGCCTGGTGAGGAGGGAGGCTGTCACAGCACGCTCCGAGTGGTGAGGGATTCCTGTAGTGTTTATGTGTCATGTGTATTAATTGTATACTGAAAATAGTAGTGTTCTCAGATAACATAAACTTTACTATCAGGAGGAGGGAGGCTGTCACAGCACGCTCCGAGTGGTGAGGGATTCCTGTAGTGTTCATATGTCATGTGTATTAATTGTATACTGAAAATAGTAGTGTTCTCGGATAACATAAACTTTACTATCAGGAGGAGGGAGGCTGTCACAGCACGCTCCGAGTGGTGAGGGATTCCTGTTGTGTTCATATGTCATGTGTATTAATTGTATACTGAAAATAGTAGTGTTCTCGGATAACATAAACTTCACTATCATTATTTAATACTTATATATCTTTATTCATATAATTTAGTGAGTTTATCTTCTGTGCTTTCTAAACATTCCTCATATTGATTTTCATTTCAGGTGTTTGATTGGAGATCCAAGTTAGTGGTTCAGAGGAAGCAGTTAATGATCACACCTTGTCCATACGCAAACAGAATCTCAGAAAAGCTGTAATAATCAACTGATGCTTTCTTCACAAGAGTAGACATTCAGTCATTAGGTTGATAGTCTATAGGTCAAGATTTTCCTGAGCACTGTAAAACTACAGCTGGTATCAAAGATATGTTAGGTCAAAAATGTATCCTGTGGACTTATAGACTCGTCACCTACCTTGAGGGTATGACAGAGAAATCTCCAACCCCTGGGATGATATTTTCGAATGTCTTGCCCTCTGGCTCAAGGGAAAGACATTAGCAAACTCAAAGTTGACTTCCACGGTCTGCTACTGTTGCTGTGACGTCAAATTATAACTCTGATACTCAGAACAAGTTATATTACTGATATAATATGTAATTGTAAAGTGAAAACATGTCGCACCCAATTTCTGTGCACCTTGTCCTAATGACATACAGAAATAATCCCATTTCTTAAAAAACATACCAAATTAAGCTTGTGTATTCTTATACCCTGTCTGTTCCAACAGTTTGTTGTATCCTACAGGGTATCAGATTAGGCAGGTTTCACTGTATATATTTCAATATCTATTCAAATTGGATTTTTTTTTTTACTATAAGTTCAACAATGAAATAGGATGGGAATGTTACTAACAACTCCCTGATCAAGCGTTGTTATTTTTCGGGTCAATCAGAAATCCAATATGGCCACCAAGGCTGCCATTTCGAAAAACTATTTCAAACTTAAAGTCAAGTTTTACTGGGCGGATTTAACTGAAACTTGGTAGGAATGATCAACTCATGGTCCTGACAAAGTGTTGTTATTTTTCGGGTCGATCAAAAATCCAATATGGCCGCGACGGCGGCCATTTTGAAAAACTATTTCAAACCTAAAGTCAAGTTCTGCTGCGCCAATTTAACTGAAACTTGACAAGAATGATCAACTCATGGTCCTGACAAAGTGTACAAATTCCAATTATGGTGGTCTTGATGGAGAATCAGTAGAGAAGAGTGAAAAGGAATCTGCTGACCTTGCAGCCATACAAAACTCATTAATTGGTGTTGTCTTTGAAACAAATTCATGAACTGCTTTGCAGTTGATTTAATTGTTCTCAAGACCAACTCTAGTCATCACCCCGCAAAATGTACCCAGTTTGCAAAGGGTCTACGTAAATAGACTAATACTATGTGTGCATTTCTGTTTGTGTGTTAAGAATGAATGTTAATGAAATAGATCCTCAAAAATGGAGCTGATTGTACTGATGGCATCATGATATTTATCAATAGTGTAGCCAATGGAATGGACGATTGAATATGTTTTAACGTGATATACGTATTCCCCCACTTCTATGTATGTAAAATTCACATGTCCCATACAGACTACTCGGGTAGGATACATGTACCCCACATGTCCCATACAGACTACTCGGGTAGGATACATGTACCCCACATGTCCCATACAGACTACTCGGGTAGGATACATGTACCCCACATGTCCCATACAGACTACTCGGGTAGGATACATGTACCCCACATGTCCCATACAGACTACTCGGGTAGGATACATGTACCCCACATGTCCCATACAGACTACTCGGGTAGGATACATGTACCCCACATGTCCCATACAGACTACTCGGGTAGGATACATGTACCCCACATGTCCCATACAGACTACTCGGGTAGGATACATGTACCCCACATGTCCCATACAGACTACTCGGGTAGGATACATGTACCCCACATGTCCCATACAGACTACTCGGGTAGGATACATGTACCCCACATGTCCCATACAGACTACTCGGGTAGGATACATGTACCCCACATGTCCCATACAGACTACTCGGGTAGGATACATGTACCCCACATGTCCCATACAGACTACTCGGGTAGGATACATGTACCCCACATGTCCCATACAGACTACTCGGGTAGGATACATGTACCCCACATGTCCCATACAGACTACTCGGGTAGGATACATGTACCCCACATGTCCCATACAGACTACTCGGGTAGGATACATGTACCCCACATGTCCCATACAGACTACTCGGGTAGGATACATGTACCCCACATGTCCCATACAGACTACTCGGGTAGGATACATGTACCCCACATGTCCCATACAGACTACTCGGGTAGGATACATGTACCCCACATGTCCCATACAGACTACTCGGGTAGGATACATGTACCCCACATGTCCCATACAGACTACTCGGGTAGGATACATGTACCCCACATGTCCCATACAGACTACTCGGGTAGGATACATGTACCCCACATGTCCCATACAGACTACTCGGGTAGGATACATGTACCCCACATGTCCCATACAGACTACTCGGGTAGGATACATGTACCCCACATGTCCCATACAGACTACTCGGGTAGGATACATGTACCCCACATGTCCCATACAGACTACTCGGGTAGGATACATGTACCCCACATGTCCCATACAGACTACTCGGGTAGGATACATGTACCCCACATGTCCCATACAGACTACTCGGGTAGGATACATGTACCCCACATGTCCCATACAGACTACTCGGGTAGGATACATGTACCCCACATGTCCCATACAGACTACTCGGGTAGGATACATGTACCCCACATGTCCCATACAGACTACTCGGGTAGGATACATGTACCCCACATGTCCCATACAGACTACTCGGGTAGGATACATGTACCCCACATGTCCCATACAGACTACTCGGGTAGGATACATGTACCCCACATGTCCCATACAGACTACTCGGGTAGGATACATGTACCCCACATGTCCCATACAGACTACTCGGGTAGGATACATGTACCCCACATGTCCCATACAGACTACTCGGGTAGGATACATGTACCCCACATGTCCCATACAGACTACTCGGGTAGGATACATGTACCCCACATGTCCCATACAGACTACTCGGGTAGGATACATGTACCCCACATGTCCCATACAGACTACTCGGGTAGGATACATGTACCCCACATGTCCCATACAGACTACTCGGGTAGGATACATGTACCCCACATGTCCCATACAGACTACTCGGGTAGGATACATGTACCCCACATGTCCCATACAGACTACTCGGGTAGGATACATGTACCCCACATGTCCCATACAGACTACTCGGGTAGGATACATGTACCCCACATGTCCCATACAGACTACTCGGGTAGGATACATGTACCCCACATGTCCCATACAGACTACTCGGGTAGGATACATGTACCCCACATGTCCCATACAGACTACTCGGGTAGGATACATGTACCCCACATGTCCCATACAGACTACTCGGGTAGGATACATGTACCCCACATGTCCCATACAGACTACTCGGGTAGGATACATGTACCCCACATGTCCCATACAGACTACTCGGGTAGGATACATGTACCCCACATGTCCCATACAGACTACTCGGGTAGGATACATGTACCCCACATGTCCCATACAGACTACTCGGGTAGGATACATGTACCCCACATGTCCCATACAGAATACTCCGGTAGGATACATGTACCCCACATTGCTGCGCTCCGTGACGATTACTACATCACAATTGAAAGACCGTCAAAATATCGTCTGAATGCCATTGACAAGCTTAAGTGACACCAGAGCTCATGAACATAAGAGTTTTACACAAGCTTGCCCTGAAGGTCTTGCATGGATCTTTAAAGAGGGATACCTTCGGTATACCATATTGTTTTTGCTTTTCTCTAAATATGACCTTTGTTCATATCTACGTTATTTAAAAATTGTGCTTTATTTAGTGGTGCATTTTCAATGTCTATGATGTTTTTTTATCCAAATAATGTGTAAAAAGTTGGAGAAAAAGTCAATCATGTAAGTCAATAGGATACTGATATTCTACTTTCAAGGATAGAATTTGGAGTCAGAACCACAGCAAAGCTTTGATTCTGAACTAAATTCTACACCCTCTGGTAGAATATGTATTTGATCTAGTATAACAATAGATTTAATGATATCAGATGACCAAAATGTCCAGAGAGAAAAGTAAATATCACTTTAGAATGCATCTTGTTACTGTCACTGTCAGTGTTATTTTTAATTTTTGCAAACTTAGTAAAATAGATTAAAATTGGTATGTAAGTTAGAGATCAGTAACTGAGTTGTTAAAGTGTGTACTCTAGTCAGCTAGGTATTGCTAGGTCTTGTCAAGTGTATCTGACATAGTGTGATTGGTGGAGGACCTCATAATTATTTATTATTAGGTATGTATAAATCGAATTCAGCATACCTGATAATTATTTTTACTTACCCAGAACTATTGTGTTGATATCAATGTTTGTACTATATGTATATAGGGGCCAGTTGTTACTGGTGTTATAGACTTAACATGGACAGTATCTGTTGGTATACATAGTCCATCACTATAGACATATAGATACCACAGACAAAATTAGAATATCCAGTGACTGTAGATGGACTTAGTAAAGTTAACAAATGTATTGGTTTAAATATAATTTAATTTTGAATTACTGCAGTTAAGGTGGAATTTTGTTCCTTACAATAGTGTTTAGGATAAATTTTCATTTTGCTAATAGTGGTTTGGTTAGAATAAATTTCTCACTAAAGCGGTTTGAATTAAGGTTTTTTCCTGGCTTTGAATTTCAGGCTGTGGCAGTTCAGGTAAAATATAATTTCTGGCTTAAATGGAACTTTCAGAGACCCAAAATGTATCGCTGTGTTGATTTAGGTGGACTTTTTCTGAACCAAAATTATACACTATAGTTGTTATGGTAGAGTTTTATTGAGAACCCATATCTCTTGCTGCCTTGAGTAGACTTTCCTTTAACATTGGACATTTTGAAAATACAAAGTCGTCAACATCAAACACGTTGTAAAATGTGATAGTAGATTCAACCACCTTGTATCGCATGTGAAGATACTTTTAATTTGAATAGCAATAATTAAAGGCACTTTTTTATTAATATAAATCTAATTGTCAATATGTATGCTAAATCTGATATTTGATATAAACTTGCGACCCTATATTGTACGTTGATCAAACTGTTATAATGTACATGTTTACGTAAATCAGTTCAATAAATCAATTTGTAAATATGTCATCGTTCTTTTATCACTGTAGGTTAGTTTATTATGTGGGGTTTTCTGTGTCGTGGACCGTTCGTCTTTCATCTTCTCATTTATGAACTAAAATTCAAATCAAGGTGATGCATGGCAAGGCACAGAAAGAATAAATCTTTAAAAGAAGATTTGACAAAATGACACTTAACTGTTTATGCAGGGAATTGACCCGAAGATGAAAATAAGAAAATTTTGCTCGTTGAATCCCAATACCAATTGTGCATTAGTGAGGCAATTTTTTGGTGAAATAAGGTCCGTATTCATCACCCTGTCAATAACCCTACACGTAGTACCCCGTACCATGGTTTACAAGAGAAACAGTACATTGGGCTTATTGCACTACTGCTCAATATGGATGTAATAAGCAAGTGGATTGTGTAATTCTACAAAGTCTTACTCATGTTATGTCTTTGTTCCCCCCTCAAACGAGACGTGAAGATAGGTATGGACAAAGTCAAAGACATTACAACAGCCCAACCGAAATATCATGTTTGGAGACCTTATGGGAACTTTAGAAGAATCATTAGGTGTCTACCATGTTCGAACTACATTGTATTTGCAGCCCATATTTGTATTAGGAACATTACAAGGGGAACAACTAAAAGTTTTCCTAGCGACCTTTGGAATCCAGCTTTGAGACATCATAAAATCAGTGATGATTTAGGTAAATCTTCACTCAATGTCTTTACGGATAGTTTAGGAAAGTTTAATTTGCCAAAAAGGGGTTAGCTGTCATTGATATCGGTTATATTCTATACAACAACAAGCTACCAACTGTACTACCCAATTATTTTATAGTTGTTCTAAACCAATTGCTTCCAGACGTTTCAACTACATGCAAATGTTACAACAGCTGAAATTAGATGGTGTTAAAAAGCTCTCCATTTAGCAATTTCCTGTTCTGCTTGTCCCTCCAACTATGGCCTATAGCTAGGCACGTTTTAATTGGTGATCAGAGAATCATCTATGGACCATTATGAAAGAATACAAGCCTCGTGATTAACTAAAACATCTTACTCCGTGGTTAAGATTTCTCTGTCTAGATCACGCAGGAGCAGAAGATTTATGAAATAAAAGAGAGCATTTTATTAAAAGCCCAGAGTATCGACTCCTGCCATCAATTGCAATGTGAATTTCGAGATAATAATGCATGTTTTTTAGGTTCATAACCGCATTAAAAAAAAGTGGCCGTGTCGGTAAACATAGCATTTAATAGCATTACACTTGTTTGCATTGATGCATTATTACATTTCCTTCCTGTGAATATAACTAAGCCTACCTGATGACCAAGGAATCCATACTTATATGTTTTCCATTTTCTCGGAAGACGGACTACTAGCTTATGCTTCTGTGTTACAATCTCTCCGAATACCATGTCGTATTTTCCATATGGGACTGAATTTATCGGAAAGGTAACACAGATCTAACCATTTCCATTAATGTCCTTTTAAGATACATTGGCCGTGTGTTTTGCCTCTAAATGACAAGAAATGTATTGACCACGTCGTCGTTCCCACGTATACTTGGGATCAATACCTATACCTAAACTTGAAATCAAGGACACTGCAGACTCTTCTTCATCAACAACAGAATCGTCCTAGACGGCTTAAAACTATATCATCTTTATGGTAGGTGTGACTGACGATCTCGATTTTCCCCCAACTTTTGATAGTAACATCCTACATGTCCAATCTCCAGTGTCGACATGTCGCAGTTGATTCGATCTTAAATCAGTCTTATAGCACGGGTTTTCGGGAGCCATGCTGTGAGGACGGGACGTTATTTTATATGTATGGCGTTTGTTGATTGACCCAGGAAACTCGTGTACTTTATAGAAAAAAATCTATACTAAGGTTAAAGGTGACTTCAGTTTTTTGCTTGAATTCCAAAAAGGAGCTAACCTTACGTGCGGAAACTGCTTTTCCATGTTTATTATCAGTGAGATCTTGACATTTACTAATCACAAGAAATACGAAGCAGGTAAGCACCAATTAAAAAAATGAAAGTCTATGCAGAAAGACAAAGTAAACAATATTGCTGCATCATTTTAGCCATCTAGGTTTCATCAGGGGTACTTTCCGTTAAAAGATTGAAAAGAAATTGTGTTCGAACAAAGGTAGAAATGCAGAAAACATGAAAAGTGTTGCAGGTAAGCTCTGGAAAACTGTGTAAGAAATATGAGTTTCATTGATACAGGCGAACACAAATTATTGTGAACACTTTCCTTTCTTTTAAAATCTTGAATGACAGGAGCGTCTATATCCTTTCCTAATTTTGATGCAAGAGACAACAGTTGTCCATACCATACAATATCTCGTGCTGCTACGCTCTGATTCATCTCAACAACTAGGAGGAGAGGAATTAGAAGAATACTTTATATAAAAAATATAAAAAAAAAAAATGTTTTAACAACACTTCCTTTAATTATCGCAAATGATAGAACAAAGAAGCCATATATGTCTGCTGGGGAGCGTGCATCTTTACGACCAAAATGTTGTTCACTGACGTCACGCAATATTCTTTTTCTGGATCATCTACAAAAGACCAAATACTTTGGTACACAATTTGTTTAAAAAAAAATGATAAGGTTAGTGACATAACAAATAGAACAAATTCACAGGTCGATTATGTTGGGAAAAGACTAAATTCGGAGGTTAAAAATATAACAAATAGTTCGAATTTATAGGTCAACAATGTAACAAACATAAAGTTAAAAATGTAACAATAGGACAAATTAGGTAGATAATGTAGCAAATATAGGCCAAATTCATAGGTCAAAAATATCACAAATAGGCAGAATTCGTGGCTAAATAATATAAATAATAATCCAAAATCGTAGTTTTATTATAAAATAAATAAAAACAATTTCATCTATTATGTTATGATGTGTAAAATACTCCGAATGTATACGTTAATAATGAACCGAACTCATACGTTTAACAATGTACCGAACGGACCAAATCGTTAGTCAATAAAATTGCGTAAGGTACGGAAGCCATTTATTAATATTCACTTTGTAGGGAAATACGAGGAACTATCTTATGCATGTATTTCAGTGTTAGATTACAGTCAACTGAGGCAAGAAGTTTAAAATAGATTTTTTTCGCCGACCCGATTATACATATATACAGTATACATGAGGTACAACCAGGAATCGTGTTTTATTTCATTTTTAGAAGTGAAATATTGAAAATTATTTCTTCTATAAAGTTGATAAGTGATTTATAATATCAAAGAATTCTGGACTACTGTGTTATTAATACGCTGAGCCTTTTGCCATGAATTATGTGTATATTATACCTCTTTCAAACGCAGGGAACATCTTTGGAGCTCCAGGTCTAGTGATGTCGGTAAACTGAAGGTAGTCTGCCCCTAGATCGTCCAGGAAACAGACGGTGAAGGCGTGGTCCCCCTTAAAGTGCAGGTCTATTGTGCCCGTGGGGTAGTTCCAGTATATAGTGCCGTTTTTGCAGGTCATATCTACGTCATAATCGGTGGGGCCATTGTCGGGGTGATTGATATGGGAACTAGGTGAAAACCAGAAACATGCACATGTGAATAATTACTTTTTGAGAAAGTAAATTTGGTAGATCGAAACTCACCTCAATTTAATGAGTTGGTGCTTAAAACCTAAGTTATCGACAGTGTAAGTGTCGGAATCCTGTGTTTTGAAAGGAAAGCATTTTCTTCAACTTATACGATACCCGTCCTGATGTCTCTTCTGGTATCTAGGAAAGTAAGTAGGTCTCAGCGTTCCAAGACTTTATATTAATCATGGTAGACGCAATAAATCCCAGTAAGAAGTCGACAAGATCATGATTAATCGATAATGGCGGTGAAAAATTACAACATTTTTACAAGCAAGATACTACTTCTATCAATATGATAAAACATTTTGTGAGCGAAACCATTAAATATCAGATATTTCTTCGGTATATATTAAAGTTTAACGACATCCTCCAGAGTAACCTGGTTATGTGTGTATTGGTAGCCAGGACGCCCCTATCAAGAAATACATATTGCAGGAATAGTATTCAGAAGTTTTACATATATGAGCCCAACCATACTAGTAACAGTCTACAAAGCTCTTATACGGCCCCACCTCGAATACGCTTCAACGATATGGTCACCCCTGTATACCAAGGACAAAATTACAATTGAAAAAGTCCAGCGAAGAGCAACGAAAAGAGTACTAACATTAACTAACAAATCATACGCTGAACGTTTAAGAATACTCTGTCTACCAACCCTGGAATACAGGAGGGAGAGAGCAGACATGGTCAAAGGGTACAGAATCCTTAATAACATCGACAAACTTGATAAGGATAAACTATTCCAACACTGTGAATGCAGATCTTCAAGGGGGCACTCCAAGAAGCTGTTCAAAAGGCCCTACAAAAAGCTGATCACGGGAAACTTCTTTAGTAATCGCATTATTAAACCGTGGAACTCGTTGCCTGAGCAAGTGGTCTCAGCACCGAGCCTAAACTGCTTCAAGGAAAGACTAAACAAGTTCTGGAAAAATCACCCGAGGAAATTTTACCCCTCATTTTGGTATTAAGATTGGATCTACCATCCAATACCATACTTAACACCAAGTGACTCAACTAAAAACATATAGGGTTTTACAGTTTTTATGCAAACTTTACAACGGAAGGGCTAAACCCTTTCATCTACATGTATGGGAACATAAGAGTGGACTTGTTTAAAAAAAAAAATCACATTATTACTACAGACATTGCTACACTACTATGATTAAGGAAATAATAAGTGCGCAACCGGAAAAAAGTAAGTCGCGAGTGAACGAAATAACAATGATGCATCACCACAAGCTTGAACTAGCTCTCATCGAGGGCACATCAGCAATTCAGCAATAAGCAGTTAATGAGTTCACCAGTATTGTTGTACTATCAAGTATTACTAATATCGTTACATGAGGCTTATTCTTTGTTATCATTATTCAAAGTGGACCCAGTTGCTCAAAGGTTGGTTAACTTTAACCGGTGGTTAGTGTAAAATTCATATTGGTGTCAATAGGAAGTTAGGACCTTCAAAGTAAAATAAATCCTCAAAACACATCAATCTTATTAGTCTCAACAAGTATATAGCAGTGAAGTAATGTCATGTGTTTTTTATTTTGTTGTATTCATTTTTTATGATGTTAGCGCGTGGGGGTCTTAGTGTGGGAGGAAACCGGAGTACCCGGAGAAAAACTCACATGGTCAGGCAGGTGACTCCAACCTTTTCACGTCCGATCGGGGAATCGAACCCCGGTCGCCTTAGTGAAAGGCAAGTGCGCTATCCACTGCACCAACCTACCACCCTAAACGTCCTAATAACAGCTAAGGTTATTTGAGGACGTGCCTCCATGTGTGTGGTGTATGCATGCTTGAGTGTGTGAATGCAGGAGACAGGGTATGTTGGTGTACTTGCCTCCTTTTGATAGCACGTATCTGATGCCGAGTTTATAGTGCTATCTCACTGAAATGGTCACATTATACTGACAACGGGTGAACCAGTTGTTACCATTCCCCTGAAAATTTAAAGACTTTGGTATGTTCCGGCCTGGTTACAGAACCCATTGCCTTCCTCACCTGGGCAAACGCTCAACTTTCAAGCCAAAATTGAGGTGTTGCCAAGCAAGGCGCCAGGAAATAAAAGGTCGTTAGAAGTAGAAAATAAGATAAAGATTCCAAATATTGCAATGGGCGCAGCAGATTTATTTTCGTCGCTTTTGTGTCCCCAAATAGAAGACACCAAAGCAAATCCCAAATTCTACATGGGGCTCCCACATTAGTCGCCTCCTACGATACATGCAGTGGGTAACAGCAGGTGAATTCTTTTCCCGATCCCCACCCGTAGGGGTGAACCAAGTTGGTACCTAACTTACCTGATTTGTACTTTGATGGTTTGATTTAACGTGGCAACAGTTAGGAAATATATGTACTTAAATTTAGTGCAAAGACATGTAAATAAAAGTGGAAGACCGTTATTATTGCTTTGCATTCTCGTCAATGCCAAGTTTGGATTCATCTAGCTTGTATCAATACATTTATCACCCTTTATCACCAATATCACCGTCCATATACAAAAGGCCATGCAAACAAGGAATGGGATTTTTACCATTTTAGCCCTTATGGGAGATTTGGCATTTTACCAATCTAAAAGCCTATTAACACGGTGTTCTTTAACTTGAATAGGGTTAATAACAGCGAAATCCTTACTGTCCAGTCTCTGGGTCCTGTGTACAGCGATCCTGAAACAAGAATCTTCTAGGGAGACACACCACTCCGCCCAGAACTACAAAGGCAAACACTACTCTGAACAAGGCCATCTTGATTTTAGTCCAAACAGTATAGCGGTTACACTCCTTTGGTCTTATCTACATTGTTGACTGGTAATCGCCGAAGTTTAGAGGTCAGCTACATTCTAAGTGGACAGCAGTTATCAGTTAACTTCATAGTAGGCCATGCATTTATGTCAAGTTTCTTAGGTATTTAAACGAAGAATTATATAATTGACCAGAATCCTTTTTATCTTTATAATATTGCAATATGGCCTAATGTAGGATCTAAAGACCTAATCACAAAGACCTAGCATGTTGTTAACTCTATTCAAGTACCATATTTGAATAAAAGCTATTGAAATCAAACAAAACGAAACGAGGCCTTATTCGGGAACCCCTCATTGACAGTGTACTTTTTATATTGCAAATAATGCTACATCGATAAAATAGTGACAATAAGCTTAATTTTCTATTGTAGCCACCTTATGTCTCGATAGATAGTCAAGCGGTTTCGGTTCACAGTAGACAAGGCAGACACGATCGTCCCAGCAGAAAATATCACCACCTTTGTACAACCTAGGTAATTCAGCCGTCGTTAATATAGTAACCTTGTCTTCTAGGTGATACTTCATTCGTCTTTGTTCCGAGTAGATTATTCAGCTACGGTAGATCCTGCTGGCACCTTTATACTCAGCGGATGATTCAACAGATGATCCAGACACGTTCGTTCATATATTATGAATAAAGTTCCCCGCGATATGGGTTAATAATCCAGCCACTTACGTTTCAAGTAGATAATCCAGCCATGTTTTTTTCTGGGTAGACCTTTAGATCCAGATTATCAAACCACTTTTGATCACAGTAGATAATCTATCCATCCTAGTGTATAATATATCAAGGTTCATTACCAGCATATAATCCACCAAACTGTATATTTTCGCTAGTACCTATACCACTTTTGTTCTCTGTAGATAATTTAACCACCATTTTTTCCAAATAGATAAACCATTCTCTTTTGTTTCTTAGAGATGATGCTTAACACCAGTGCCCTCAGGAAAATGTTTTATAATCCAGATACTTTATTCCCCGTAGTTAATCCAGCCATGCCCTTTTGTTGACAGCAGAGACTTCAGCTACATTTGTTTTATTATGTAATTCAGAAACCTTTCATCACACTAGATTATCCAGGTATCTTCGTTTATAGTGAATTTGTTACCAGTAAATAACCTTGTTTGAAATGACAAATTGTTCCCCGTATATTTTAGCTGGTATCTGGATCCCCGTACATATTAGCTGGTATCTGGATTCCCGTACATATTAGCTGGTATCTGGATTCCCGTACATATTAGATGGTATCTGGATCGCCGTACATATTAGCTGGTATCTGGATTCCCGTACATATTAGCTGGTATCTGGATCCCCGTACATATTAGCTGGTATCTGGATCCCCGTACATATTAGCTGGTATCTGGTCCCCGTACATATTAGCTGGTATCTTGATCCCCGTACATATTAGCTGGTATCTTGATCCCCGTACATATTAGCTTGTATCTGGATCCCCGTACATATTAGCTGGTATCTGGATCCCCGTACATATTAGATGGTATCTGGATCAGTAAATAGGTTAACACGCATTGATCTCTATTATCGAGTGTTCCAGCATAATAATCTGCAACTAGTTGTAAGTTTATAAAGTATCAAGCGTTGCATGTTTCAAACATTTTGTGATTTGTGTTCTTATAAGTGACGACTTGTTTTGTATAATTTGTGTGTCATTATTTTCCAAATCTTGTTATATATGCTTTAATTTTTGTGACTTATATTGTTAAGGTTACGTTTTGTATTCAAAACCAAGCTATTCATATTTGAAACCTGTAACATACTTTCGAAAACTTCCTTCATATTTGTATATGGAAATTCGTGATTTATGTTTAAAAAAAAAGTGATAAATATTCGAAATCCTTTTATTTGTATTTTTAATTAATCTTGTGATTAGATCGTGATGCATGATCGGACGTTTTCATTTGCTAATCATTGACACCGCCAGTGTTGATCCTAAAAATGATGTTGTGCATTGTTTTTATAACCTTGTGTAAGTTGTTCCGCTCTACAAATATGTACTATGTTTCTTACCTGATTCATTCATTCATTTCTTTATTCCTCCAAATTACAGTGTTACATGTACATGTATATGGACATAAATATCAATAAATACAGAAAAGGAAATCATATGTAAAGTAAAGAAAAGGGAGATATTCTAAAGTGGACAAAACCAATGTATGTAACTAGACATGTAAAAGACTCCAGGCTAGTGAACAAAGTAAACAAATATGATACAAAGCTTCACAAATATATGATGGAGCATAATGATAATGGTTATAAACTGTATTGAGAAGAGTCTATAAAGGAACGCTTTTAATTTCTGCATCGACAGACTAAGTATTTACATAGGTCCCTGCTTCCTTCCTCGTTTTTCTACAGATTCTTGAATATACACCAAAATATTGGAACACCAATTTAGCGAGATGAATTACAGGATGTATGAAGTATACAAATCACAGGAATTCCATTTGTATACATACATTTTTTTCTGATATATAATTATGACAAAATACTAAATAAACATCACAAGACTTTGAATGCCATCAACTCATGTAAAATATAAATACAAGCAACACATTTCCTATATTAATAAAAATGCTTTCTGAATATGTAGAATATTAAACAATGGTGGGTTTTTTAATAATAGAAGACCAAATTATATAATAAAAATAACATTATATAGGTATTAAACTACAAAATTTTGAAATATTGTAACAATTATTAGTCGTTTACGTTCATATTTAAGATGAAATATATTGAAAAAATAAGAGTTTGTTATAAACTTTGATGGGAGAACGTTGCATGGTTACTGATCAAACGACATAACACAAATGTTGTATAGTCGTATATCCTTACATCACACATTAAACAGTACATAACTCTTTATTATCTTGGTGCATTAACTATTTCCCTCTTCCCGCCTTCGACACAGACAATACAAACACATTAACAGCACACTAGGTATGAACACGAGATGAATAATACATGCGTCTCGCTAGACTAAAAACAACAATAATTCTCTGATCACAGCAGTAATTTTACATTTTAAAATCGCAGTTGATAGGAGAATGCTGCCACGTACGCATGGAAGGGAGCGTGCATCTTAATGATCAAATTGTTGTTCACTGAAGTGACGCAATAATCTTTGTCCGGATCATCTACAGAAGATCAAGATCATACTCTCAATAACAAATTAATACATTCATACAATGTGTAGTTGTGACAATGAGCAAAGAAATTCATTGTTTTGCTACCTATATGTCTAAGTGGAGTATACCATGGTCTGGGTGGGATAGAGGGGTGTCTGTGTTGTCGTATTCATAAGGCATGCCACTATAAATAGTTTGAAATATGAACACATAACAAAGAAAAGAACCTATACAAGGACATTCACACGCATATCCTTTCTAATATAAAGTGACCAAGGTTGACTGGGTTGCTCTTTAGTAAGGCTGTACCAACAATGCAATTGTGCCGATTAGATAATGTCATAGTAAAAATATCCAGCGCGAGCCTGTTTTGTGTGCAACTTTCTAGATATAAGACGCAACGCTATACAAATGTTGTAAGTCAATAGTAGGAATGAGAATTACAATAATCTTGGTGTAAATACCTCCATGAAACAATGAAGGAAACACCTTGGGAGCTCCAGTTGTTATGTCTGATAGCTCAAGTACTGCTACCCCTAGTTCGTCCCGGAAACAGGCGGTGAAGGCGCGGTCATCTTTGAAGTGGAGGTCTATTGTGCCCGTGGGGTAGTTCCAGTATATCGTGCCGTTTTTGCAGGTCATATCTACGCCATTGTCGGGGTGGTTAATATGAGTGCTAGAAAGAAGTAGATATTAGAAAAGTTTAAAATTTGAAGAGACATAAAGTGTCAAAATGTTATCAAGCCTAAATCACTGCCTTCGTCCTCTCCTTCTACTTCAACTCTTCGAGAGCCTCGTATTCCAGCTGAACCATTCCTTTCACCAACTAAGGAAATAACAATATCTACATATAATGTACACCTCAGAGTTAACATAAAATATTTTAGGAAGCATTAAATAATTGTTTAAATCACAAATAATGAGAAAAGAATTAAATGCAAAATGAACGAATAAAATCCACGATCGATTGTTTCGTTCGCTATAATTCTTGCTAAATTCAATCAATAGAGTAAGGTTTCTCCAAACGGCTGGATAAGTCAAAATGTATCAGTTGGAAGACGTCATTCCTAATAACTATTAATATAATAGGTTAATGGTGGTGGTGGTGGTGGTGGTGGTGGTGG